GATCTGCGCCTCGCCTGTCACCTTGTATTTCCCTGACCCCGAGGGACCAGCCGATGGATTCTCGGGAACAGGGCGACGACGAGGCATCTCTAAAAGAAAGGGGAGGAAAAGGTGTTCTCTCTTGAAAACCTGAGGAAGTTCCCCGAGGGTTTAAATCAAGACGTACCGACCGGATGACACCACCGTTCAAATCGGAAAACAAGAAGGCCAGGAGGACGATAAAGAAGAAGGTTGTGAAACTCACCAGAAGACGTCGGAAACGGAGTTTTTCAGGAAAAACTTTGAAAACGACTCGCACCGGAAGGACCAGGAGTCAACAATGGGTTTACTGACTGTGATTTTAAGAGAAGATGCTGTCGATGATGGCTGAGGAAACAGAAACTCCGGCGAAGCAGATCAGAAAAGGCGTATTCTGGGTCAGAGATCGGAATGGCAAAACAATGGAAACCGGAGAAGAACCCCCTTTATATAGGGGGGAAACTGTCATCATTGGGCGGGAGAACCAAAACGGCGCATTTAATGCGCACGACATCCCAAGACGGGGAAAGCTGCTCGAGGCCATAATGAAGGACGGATGGCAGTTGGAAAACCCTTCGTCTCCTGACAACGCGTGTCCTCGGCGTCAGAAGATCGAAGGCTGGGGGGCAGTTGATGGGACTCTTCTGAAAAGCCTATGATGAAGACACGTGTCCTCGGGGGTTTCTAAAACAATGTTGCTCGGGTTCAAGCACCATCGGCAAAAGCGTCCTCTCCCCCGAGGTACCTCTCATATAGGATCACATATTCGGTACATTATACAATGACATGTGTCCTCGGTCACCATGTACCTCGGGAACACACCACCCCATGGTCCCCCGAGGTGAGCCTTTCCTCGGCGCCGAGGGTCACTCCATCCTGGACGCTTCCTCTACTCCCGGATAAAGTTACTGACGTACGGGACATCAGCCTATGTCAGTCTAGACTATTCATCATGACCTCGTCTCACACAAGTAATGTCAGAACATGCTGGAATACAGAAGTCATAGCCAATACGTGACGGACGCGTGGCATATGATATCACATCAAAAACAGGCAAACCGCACGCTATTGCTGACATGCGCTTTGGGAAGCAAACAATTAATTGCACCCTTCTGTTGACGAGACCGCATTCAATGCGGTAAGGTTCGGATATGAAAGGCAATAAATGCTCCTATTACGGAGCATTTATTACATCCTTCCCGAAAGGAGCATATTGTACCGTCGGCGTCCCGACGACTCAACATTGATTGCTCGGGACCCCGAGCAGTCAATTAGAGAAGACATTCCTCGTCAAATCAATACACACGCTACCAGTGCCTGATGATCACCTACTGACCACACTGACAGCAATCATGAGCTTCTAAGGTATAAATACCCCTCCCAAAAAGGCAAACGGGTATGCAATCTCAAACTCTCAACTACGAAATATCCTTCTCAGTGTTTTCTCCTTCCTCTCTCTCTCATTCAAAGACTGACTAGACCGTCGAAGGGGATACGCCGGAGAACACTCCGGCGCCCTTCTAACTTGTTCTCCTTTGTTCCAGGAAACACCTTTCACACGTACAGGATCGTTCCTCCTTTCCCAGGATCTCCCTTTGCCGTTTCCGGTTGCCACCGTACCTTGTAGGCTGTTTCAAGCAGCGTGTTTGGTTACTCAACCGGCTCACCCAAAGTTCACCAGGGGAGAGATCTGTTCCCAATATTTTATATATCGTGCAGGATCGAGCCCGCACAAAAACAATACAAAAAAGTCGAAGAAAACAAAAAGGTTAAGAAAAATAATAAGCCGCTTAGATTTAATTTTAACAAACCAAGCACCTTTTGAGCTTGTTGGGGTGCCTTATCTCTTCTCCTAGCCTTTAAGAAACACTAAAAAGTAGCATTAGGATCCTAACAAAGATAGCTTTTGCCTTGATTTGGAGTGGAAATTGTTATATGTTTAAGATTTAGCCTCCTTGTAATGTTAGAATTTCAATATTCTTACTCAAAAGGTATATTTCCACTTGGTGTCATTTTCAGTGGGATAATCTAAATAAAATAGCCCATGGAGCCCAGAGATCTGGCTCATTTAAGTTTAAAGTAGCCCCCCGAATTGCCTAATCATTCACCAAACTTGTGTGTAAAGTAGGCCAATAATTCTAAGCACCAGTCTTTCCTGTTGGCTTGGCATCCTTCTAGTTTATGTTACTCTCCTTTTGTTTAGGGTTAAATATTTGTAGAAGAGTCAATATCATGATGGTTATGCTTGGAAAAAGAATCAAATTAGTCGGGTTTGACTCAAGATCAACTTGTCAAAAAACTCATTTGAGATCTATGATCAACGAGTCTCTTCAAAATCATTTGAAAAACTTAAATAAAAAGAAGGAAAAATCTATAATATAAAACAAGACCCACAAAATCATTCAAGCATTATTTGGATTTGTGCTTACAATATAAATTTGTGCTTACCATGTTTGGATGGTTTGATGCGTTTGGGTGGATTTTAAAAGATGGGTTTAAATAAAATAATTTGCTAAATCACTTAATTCTATGTTTGGTTGGCCCATAACTGACTCAAAAATTAAATCCATGAGTATTAGTTTCAACAAACCCAAGGGAAGGGGGAGAGGGTTGAAATCAACCAACTTAGGATATAATAGTAAAATAACTTTTCTATCCCTAATCTACCCATTTACAAAAAATTGGATAAGACAATTTAGTCAATTACATGGCAAAAATTTAGTTATAATTGTGATTAATGTTTATGCTACTTACCAACAAAGGATTGAAGATAATTTATGTATGAATCACATGTACAAAAGAAAGACTTTGGGTTTACAAAGATTTGTTAAAGTAATCCAATCCCTCCATTCTAAACCATCCAAACATGTCCTTGAAAGGCGCGTGTGGTGCGCTTCTTTAAGAAAAGAAAGAATTGGTTGATGTCCCAATCACAAAATTCAAAGAAATAAAGGGGGTACCAAAACAAATTTTTCAATATTTACGAGGGCCCTACTATAAATAAAACAAACATCTTTACTTGCCATGCTAAGTCTTCACTCCATTATTGGTGGGTCTCAAAGGCAGTTCGTTTTTACCAAGTGAATATTTTAACAGAAAGCAGCGGTTATGGTGGCGGAGGGCAAGCATTTCCTTAGATAGGAAGGAAGGGGTCTGGAATCCAATAAAAGTGCTACACTTGGATGGCCTTTAGCCACGTGGCTTATCACAACTACCAATTCAACTAAACTAAGTAAATGTCTTATGGTCATCTTAGGTAGTTATAGATAATAATGAGTTCTACATAGGACTATCCGATTCGCGTGAGTGTAAAGAATGAGATAAAACAAAAGATGATAGAAATGTGAGTGAGAAGAGACAGACTAATGGGTATTTGGTTCAATGGTACTCCTAATCTTGTAAAGACTTTATTTTTGTTGAGGTCAAGGGTTCAAATCCCGTTCCTCTTCTCTCTTTCCAAAAAAAAAAATTTTAAAAAAAGAAGAGACAAAAAAATAAATTATACAAACAGTCATGTGAAATTGATAAGGAATGATGGGTGATTCAAGTGAAAAGAAAATAAGGGTACATAAATGTTTTTTATATTGAGACCAAACCCTTTATCTCCCTTTGTAATAATATTAGATATAGTAATTATCTTGATTTCTAATTTTTTATTTTGAGTTTGATGGTAACTCAATTATTATTGTTAGAGATTATATAAGAGAAAAACGAAGAAATGAGATATGAGCTCTAAAATTGAAATTGAAAGTTATAATTAAATGACTTGTAGTGGTAATGACATTGGGGTAGCCGATAATTGAAAGATGAGAAAGAAGAGGTAGTGAGAGATCGAAGATGGATTTTAAAATCTTAAAAGATAATTAAGTGATAATAAGAACGAGTTGTAAAATAAAGGTTCTGCAAAATTTATAAAACTCAGTGGGCTTGCACGTTATTCAACTTGTAGTCTTAAGCCAGAAAAATAGTGTTATCAGAAATCGGACTGGACCAGTTAGTCGAATCGGTTCAACTGTTACCCAGGACTAAGATCGGTCCGATTTTCTAGTTAAACTGGAGAAGGAATCAAACCGCTTGAAAATCCTTAAACCGATCAATTTTCTACCAAATCCATGAACCGGATGATTTTCATAAACCGGCGGTTGTTTTTTACTAGATCAAGGGAAAAATTAGTCAACTACGTATAAGTTAACCTGAACACTCCTAACCGTTAAATTAAAAAAAAAAAAAAAGATGTATTTTAAAGTTGACAACAGAAGTAATGGATTGGGATTGGTTGGATTGGTGATAAATTAAGCTGTGTTTGCCATCATTGGTTGGCTGTAGTAGTGCCAAAGAACTGGTGTTGGTGGTGGTGGTTGGAGTTCAGAGGCAGTTAGAAGGAGACAAGGCATCAGAGTAGCTGAGTGAACTTGGTTAGGACTCAATTAATCAAAAGTTGACTAATCTTGTAAACTTAGATTTTATGGAGTACTAGAAGAGTGCATACTAAGTAATAATGGAATGGAATACCCCCGTGACAATGCAGACCCAAAGTAGAAGGGCTGCAATCTAATTTCAGAAATCTATAGGGGGTATCATTTTAGCTTTTCCAAAAGTTAATGTTCTAGAACTAATTAAAAAAAATAACTAACCACTAAAGAAAAAGAAGAAAAATCTACTTTTCTTGGGCTATAAAAACCAAACCTACCTTCAAAATCACTGCCATTCAAAAGCCGAAAAGAAGAGGGAAACCCTTCAACCTTATAGCCAAACACAGCTCAATTTCTCAATCTCTACATTCTCTGTGACTTTCTATTTCTCCCTTCCTCCCTTTTTTGTTCGTCACCATGATCTCTATACTCGATTTCTGCACTCTGTTTCAACGATTGGCTCGAGCCAAACTCTTGATCCCACATCAAATCTCTTTCGAGTGACATTCCTAACTCTCATCTTGCACTACAAATTTCAAAAAAAAAAAGCAATAGAATTTTGGGGGGGAAATGGATTCATTTGGCATTCAGAATGTTAAATTCGAGAAGGCCAACGCCATCTTGAGGTACCGTAGGCGTCAGAAAATCACAACCCTGTTCAGGTTCATCGAAATATTCATCTTTCTCGTGATTATCACCAGGTTTTCCTGTCAATTTCCTCTCGCTAATTTCAAACTCTCTGGTGAATACTTTCGAGGCCTCTCAGTCACCCTGGTCAGTACTCGGTTTGTCTTCGTTGTTGGAAACGTGATAATCGTTACTCTCTTCTGGAAATCTGGACAGTTTTCAGCTCAAGATGATACCAACAATAACATCAAATTTGATTTCCATGATGATTATGTCGAAAACAGTCAAAAGAATCAGAATATTTATGGGACTGAGAGTGAGAACCAGGGGAAACAGAGCAGGGATAAGGATTGTACAGCTACACCTGATCTGTTTGGTTCCAAGGAAAGAAAGATTCATAGGTGTCAATCAGAGGATTTTAAGAAATTGCACCATGTGGAGCCTTGTCGGGAACTAAGGCGATCAGTGACGGAAAGAAACTGGGAAAGTGTAAATTATAGTGAGAAACCAGCAGTGAATTCCCATGCAGAGGACGAAATGAGCAGTGAAGAATTCAGGCGCAAGGTTGAGGCTTTCATTGCCCGACAGCAGAAGTTACTAATGGAAGAATGAGTTTTCAATTACTCTTTATATCAAAGCATAGCTTGTTTATGAAGATCCACTGCTGTTGTTATGTTATTGTTTTCCTTTCTCTTTTGCTCCTTAGAAACAGGGAAAAAAAATACTATTATGATGCTATAAGAAAGGGGTTCTTGAGATCTTCTCTCTATGTCTCCCCTCTAAAAAATACAATTATGATGCTATAAGTAAGGTGTTATATATATCATGTAGCGTTTGAACTTCATTCAAACTAATTTACTTCTCATAATATTTTTTTTTTGAAGGCCTTGGCTAGCTCATAAGTCATAACACTTCCTCAGAAACTAAAAGAGGACTAAATCCTGCAACCCCAAGAGCTTTTTTTTTGGTTAATTATTTTAATTTCTACATTAGAGTCTGCACAAATAATTCAAAGAGAAATTGTAGTTATTTGTTTGAGATCTTAATTTCATCTCAAAACACGGAATATGAATTCTTAGGTTTGAACTAGATGCCATTTGCAAGTAGGTGGTATAATATGCCTAGAACACACATCATGAAAACTATATATTCGGGTAAGAGGTCCAGAGTTGATGGGAAACTAGATGGTCACTTCTTGGATGCAGCTATAGATATGACTCCAAAGAATTAGTATATTGGTGAGAATAACATTATAAACTCGTGTATTAGTCATATATGCTTTGATGCCAAACATGCCTGTTGATATTCGAATTTTGAACATATAACAAAGGAATAAAGCCACCCAACAAGCTGTTTTACATTTTAACAAGTGAGTCATTGCTTAGACAGCAGTTACAGAACTGATTCCTTCCAGACAAAGCATCTTTATCTTTACTCAAAAGTCATAGCTGATAAGGCCCATCAAGGATTCTGCAGTTCATTGTTTCTCAAAGCACAATCATAACTTCTCTCTTCTGCACCTAACCTAACTATTTGCTTTTTTTTGTACTGGAGTTTTGTAGCATGCATAAGTGGCTATGAAAGATTAATTGCTACACTTAATTTCTAATTCTTCAACAATTATATGAAGAGATAAAGCAGGGGATATATTTTTCAGTTTTTTCTTGACACGAGAAAAGAGAGTAATTTGGTCTTTGACATGAATTTTAGTACGCCCAAACAAAGTGACAATCCATATTGAAGGCAAAAGGAAACAATGTTCAATATAGAGGGGGAAACTGTTGCAGTTAAAAGAAGAAAGTGGCAATGATTTACCCTTAATATCTCCGATAATAATGGACGTGTCCTTAATTTATAGAATAAACATATGGACACACATTGATAGATCTAACATTCACCAAATAACTATTAGGTCCCCGCTAATTTTGAAACTTTAGTTAACATCTATTTACCTCATGCTATAATATATATACTAACGTTCGAATGAAGAATTACATAGAATTCAAGGGCAAAGAAATAATAATGTAAAAACTTGTATTGAATTTAAATATCAACTGTCAAAACTTTATTTGTAACGAAATTAAGAAAGGTGTTTGAATTATTATAATAGCTCTTGAAACTTTAATTTTTTTTTCAAAGCAAATAGCTATATTTTTTTTTTATTAAAGCAAGTAGTTACTGGTGTTTTTTTTTTTTTATTGTTGTGGATCCCTTTAGATATTCTATTACTTAAAAAAAAATCAATAAAAACTTTTTTTTTATAAAAAACTGTTTTTTTTTCTCAGTCTCTAGAAAACTATTTTTTTTTTTAGAAAAAAAAAACCAAATTTCTGAATTTTTTGAAAAAACATAAACATTTTTTTTCCATAAAACAGTAACATTTTTTTTTCTCGAAAACAAAAATTGTTTTTTTTTCCAAGAAAAAACAGTAACGGTTTTTTTTTAAATTGTCTCCACCAACAAGATGAGATTCTGATTGTAATGAATAGTTCCCTTAAGGACTCTGATCAATAGACTAGTGTTTTCCGAAAAGTGGTCTAAACTCCTCGTGCCATCCTTAGTGAAGTTTCGCGCATATCAATAGGACACTATCTATATATACCACTTTTTGCTATAATGCATATTTGTACTCAATAAACAGTGTTTAGTATATCATACAATCAGCTGCTTTAGATTGTTGGGAAAAAATTAGCATAATTATACATAATTTTAATTATTAAATTAATATCAATATCACAAAAACAAACACAAAATAACAATGAACTTAAAATGGAATAAAATAGATACTATAAATTAGAAAGAGTCGGTCTGCGAGTCCGAGAGTTATGTGAACATTGTTCTAAAGTAACTGAGCCTCCCCGCGTGAGGGTATTGACGGACACCAGTGATTCCAAGATCAAACCCAAACACTCGCAGTAGCACCTCCTCAATGGTCACGCCCACTGGAAGGAAGGGGTGAAAGTGGAGTACCAACCTTACTCCTCACCTTAAGGTTGGGAGTTCGAGTCTTCAAGTCTCCATTAGGGCTTGGTGATTGACCACTATGCTAGCCTAATTAGGCTTGGTCCCGAGAGGTGTTTCAAGCATAGTTAGGGGCCTTGAGATCTCACCGGTGAAGGTGTTGACGGACACTAGCGACTCCAAGATCAAACCTAAACACTCGCAGTAGCACCTCCTCAATAGGTCACGCCCACTGGAAGAAAGGGATAAACCTGACTTGAGTCAAAGTTGCCCAAAAACATAATTGGAAGATACATCTACAATATATATAGAAAAAAGATACATACAACAAAAACATATATATCCATTAGATCATATGACTGCTAACCATTTTTTAAGGTGTACCGTCGAGTAACCCCCATCACATAAAGGCATTCAAATGCCCAATTAAAACAAAGTATAATTACTCAATTAAATCATATAAAAATACAATTAAATCCTAAATTTAAAGTGATTCATTAAAACATATAAAATAAATTAAATGAGAAATTTTAAAGCTTTTATTATTTTTTTTTCAACAAAAAACACACATGTTCGTCAATATCCTCATCAGCAAACGCTTATGCATGGCAAAACATGTCCATTAAACCAAGTTCATCTTAAGATCCCTGTAACAAAACCCATGATGAGCTTGTTGAGATGAAAACCATAAAAAAAAAAATCCTCAAATTGGATAACGATATGTAATCTCATCTGTTCCAACATTACTCGTCAACAAATCTAATTACTATATCAACATCACCGATCCTACACAATCAAAAAAAATTCCAGTAATTCACTGAATCATCGACTCTCATTTGATTTTCAACAAATTAGCCAATAACGCTTTGAGAAATAACGGATACGATAAGAATTATAAGAATATTAAAACAAATCGAGAAGCAGATAGAAACTTACCGATAGGAGGGCCAAGACTGGAATTGTTGGAGCAATTAGGGTTTCAATCACGATGAGAGGGGTTCAGTCGTACAGCATTCTGCCCGGAGACAACCAAAAGAGTGAGTGCTTTTAGTTTAAAAACCAGTGGCGCGAAAAATAAAGGCGGTAAATTCAATCCAATTTGAGGAATTTTTTTGGATATTTTTTTTCTTTTTTTGCACAAATGAATTTTTAGTAGTTGAGTTGAGGTTTTTAATTTTCAAATTGAGCTTGGATAAAACAAAAATAATTTGAATTGAATTTGGACAACATTCGAGTTGAAACTTCTAATCAGTAAGTTCAACCCGAATTTAAAAAATTGAGTTCAACCTGAAATTTGAAAAAAAAAAAAAATTTAAACAAACATACATATATACAAAATGTTGGGGCATTTGCGCTGCATTACTTATTTATTGTTATTGAAGTTTTAAGTCTACTGTAGATGTGAAATTTATTTTTTTCTTTCTTAATAAATTCTGATAAATGAAAGTTATAGAATTTATATTCAATTTTGGCATTGTAATTGTCTACCCCGAGATAAACCCCAAATTCAAAATTTTAGTCATGGGTTGAACTTGAGTTGGAGTTGTATGGGTTGAGTTTACGTTGAGTTGAATTCGGGCTGAGACTGTGATATCTTGAAATGAGCTTAAATTGATCTTTTAATCTATCCAACCCATTCAAGTTAGGGTGTTTGACAACACCACTTACTACTTAAAATTTAATATTTTAAGCACTTATTAAATTAAACATGTTTGATAATCTAAAACTTATACTATTTAATATTTTAAACACTTCTTAAAAATATGCTAAAATTTTAAGTATCAAAACTACTTATTTATTACTTAATACTGAAAAATGTTAATTAGTAAAGATTTTACTAATTTCTCATAATGGACAAATATACCCTCAACACTACTGTGTCATCGCCACCACCAACATTACTACCACCATCATTATTGCCACCACCATCGTTGTTACCACCAATACTATTGCTACCATTGTCACCACCATCACTATCATTATGTCACCGCCACCACCATTATGCCAAGACCACCACCACCACCACTGCCACAACCACCACCACTATCACTGTCATTGCCACCACCACACCATTGTCATCGCCACCACCCACCATTATCGCTACCACCACCATTGTATTGCCATCTTCATCACCATCGTCTCCCGCCACAACTACCCCCACCATTGTGATGACGGTGATAGGAATAATATGACAATTACATAGAGATGGTTAAAGATAAGGATTAAATTAAAAAAATAATAATTTTCAAACCTCAGCTGCTTATATTTGTCAAATCGTTTAATTAAATTCAATACTTAAATTTTAATTGATATCAAACAGTTTGTGAATTAAAAAATTTAACATTCAGCATTTAATTTTTAATATTCAACTTTCAATTTTATCAAACACCACCTTAAATGAGATAAAAATCCAAAATAGAACCCATTGTCAATATAAACTTGGCAAGTGTGACCATGGGTAAACGGCTCACCTTGTCCAAATGAAAAACTTGGACACGGCCACTGGAAGGGTTTGAGCCAAAAAAGCTTGGCCCATAAGCGTCTTCTTGAACATTATTCAAAAGGTCCATCCAGTCTACTACAAGCTGTTACGAATGATTAGTAACTTTGATATCATCAATCATAGTTTGTATTTGTTTAGAATCCGCTTTAACTTGTATATAATGATTAACTAGAGTTCGATTAACGAGAATAATACAATTTGTTGTTTAACTTTGATAATACTATAGTGACGGACTATCGTTTCGAATTAATAGTTATAGTTATGATTCAATTCGAACATTTTACAATGAAAGACGTTCATGGTCAAGTTCAGGGGATTACTATCTAGTGGACCCTCCCCTTTTTCCTAACAAAAAATAAATCGATATGATCATACTCTCATTAAAATAAGAGTGAAGCTGACACAATATCTACACTCATGAGCTCAACGATATACCACTTAGTGGAGCACTACTACGATAAGCAATTGACATTCATTCCCCTTCAAGATTTCACAAAAATAAATGGCCACCAAATTAACACCATCATGGTAAATTCAGTAGCTTTTACATTTTTCATGGGTAAGTAAGAGATTTCGGGTTCAACTTTCTTTATTTTTAGAGTCAACAATTAATCTAAGTTTATTCAGAGTATTATCATATTGAGAATGTACGTAATAAATTTTTTTTCTAAACATGATCCCTCCTAGTTTAAACCTCATTGTTTTTATGTACTAGTTCTTCGTGGACAGCGGTGCTATAGGTTTGTGTATTGCAACATAAATTTATTGAAGGTGATGGAATTTTACTTTCTTTTTTTGATTATTGTATAAACAAAATAAACTTAAAAACTTTATCGAACACAAAAATTAGTGAGTAACCCCAGATTATTTGATGAGACGACATATTTGGATAAATAAGGGGAAAATGAGGGTCGAAATGAAATCCAAAAAAAAAATTGGCATATACATATTCATGGAAATTAAGTAAATAAACATGTAACAGGGATAATTTAGTAAATTTGCAATTGTGGTGAATGGAGGGTTTTGGGTAGATTACCTGCCTTTGAATTATGAACATAATGAATGTTGGTTTTTCTCTTTTTTTTTTTCTTCAATTTAATCAAATGACATTTTCATCCCTATCTCTTATTTCAAACTATCAAAGATTTGTAATATAAAATGAGACCGAGCAAGAAAGATATATATTGGTAATAGTATATGAGTTTTAACACTAAATTGACGAGGGATTAGATATATATATATATATATATATATATAGTTATCTATTAAAAAAAAAATATGACTTAAACCTGTAAATCAACACAATTCAAATGATATAGAAAATTCTATTTAAAAATAATAAAAAATACCTGCAATATAAAGTTAGTGAAGAATAACTTTTGCCGGGAAAAAGGGAAAAAGAGACGTTAGTTATTAAGGAGTGTCGGTTAGGGTTGCATTGCGAAGTACCTGCAATTTGAACGGAGTGGCCTGCATTTTTCATCTCTCTCTCTCTCTCTCTCTCTCTACATATTTGTATATATTTAGAATGCAGACAGGTCATGGGGTGGAAGACCTTGTCAAAAACCTGAAACAAATTCTCTCTCCAAATTTTCTATATTTTTCTTTCTACATACTATATTGGGGTTGTGGTGGTTTGGACATTTTATTTTCCGAATAACTGCTGTCCATTTGCTGTGTTATTGGGACCTCAATTTCTGAGGATAATCCGCTGATTTAATACTCCCTTTCTCTTCCTTTCTCAAAAGCCCTGCATTTTTGTCACTGGTAACAATCTTTCATTCTCTCTCTATCTCTCTCTGGCTTTCAAGAACTTATTCATTAATCAATCGTGTAATATCGTTATGCTTTTAATCCTTTATTATTATTTTTTTCGATTTGGGTTTGTTTGGAATAGCAATTTGACTTTGATATTGAGCTTTTGGAAATAAAGATAATGGTTGTGTTGAGTTTTTTTTTTTTTTTGTCTTCTACAATGTCTAATTGATTCTTTGTGTTCATAGTGTTTTTTGTTTGGTGACATTAAGGATTATGACCTCAATGTGAAGATTATTGTTCTGGTGTTTCTTGCCATTTAAGGCTATTTGGAAATGATTTCTCTTTCCTTTTTTACTTTTCTGGCTTTTTTCTTAGATTTTGTGTTAATTGAGATTAAATGGCTGTACATAATTTTGGGATAAAAAATTGACCATTGGAAAGTATGATATTCAGTGGATTGAATCAGTTTCCATGCTTTGACAAAAGTAATCGTATCAAATAATTTTTTTATGTTTTTGTTTTATTCATATGTAATATGTTAGAAGGCAAGAGCCAACACATGGATTCATGTTAAGCATGGGTTGTATTGTGTCGTTTCCCTATGCAATATGTTGTTTTGAATCTTAGTGTATTGTGTTTTTCTTTCTTTCTTTTTCTTATATTGTGTTATGGTTGGTTATTCGTTTTAATATTCAAGCACTGAAGAGTTTGCTCTCTTGATATGTTACATCTGATTTTTGTGTTCTAAAAGGTGTAGGCATTCGTCAAGGGCATAAGCTCTGGCATCGTGGTAACTTTTACCGTCTCAAGTGATCAAACTTGCGAATTGCAACCATGAGTGGCAATATGTCTGGACCTCTTGAGCGACCCATTAGGCCAGTAAGTGTTCTTTGATTGTAAAGTTTTCCAGTTGTATCCATTCTTTATCCTTTTTAAGACCCTCACAGTTATTATACATGCATAGGTCAACTTAATGCACTGAATTATTTTTATTCAGATGTAAATCGGACTATAATCGCAGCTACTTTTGGATTAATTAGGAATAGCGATACAGTTATCAGAAGTTTATCTTGTCTTGCTTACCAATCGTAAGTGTTTGAGTCTTTCTTTGGCACAATTTGTGAACAGGTATGGAAAAAGTTGACATTGAGAATTTTGAGGATGAAAGGAAGACAAAGCTTGGGTCTCTCAAGCAGAAAGCAATTAATGCCTCGACGAAGTTTAGGCATTCCTTGACGAAAAGGGGCAGGAGAAACAGCAGAGTCATGTCTGTTGTTTTGGAGGATGAGCATGATGCAGAGGAACTAAAGGCTGTCGACGCGTTACGCCAAGCCCTGATCTTGGAAGAATTACTGCCTGCAAAACACGATGATTACCACATGATGTTAAGGTGGTCGTCTTTAATATGTCCAATAATTTTCTGATCTTAATGTCTAACTGGATTGTAAGTGAAAAATAAATAATTGCACAAAGCAAATAATGGAGAGGCATACTTAGATACAAAAACACATAAGACTCAACAGCCAAAGGTTTTTAATAACTTTCTTTATTGTTAGCAAAGGGAGTACAACACGCACAGGTATTCCATTTCTACCAGTTGTAGGCTGATATATGACTTACTTAACCTGCCTCGAGGACGGGCCAAGGGGTTCTGCTGTTTTCTTTAAAGATATCTTTGGTGTTTTGCCTTGATTACAATCTAAACCCTCGAATTTGTAGAAACTTGTCGCAAGCCCTTTCTGTCCCAAATCATTTGCAATCTCCACCTCTGTCCATTTACTATGCATTCTGTTCGTCATCCCCGTCTTTCCAGCAGCTTTTAGAATCTTCGGCAGTAAACCAGTACTAAATATTATACAAATATTATCCTTAAAATAGATAATGGGTCTGCAAGTATATATTCTGCAATATGTGCTATGTTGTATAAGGAATATTTGGTGTTGACACGGGCATTAGAACACAGAGGCTTCGATTTATTTTCAAGTTTTTGCATAACATTTTCCACAAGTAGCATTTACATTGTGATGCAATCAGGAAGTACTTTCATTTCAGTGTTGATTTGTTTAGTTTCACCTTTGGATGATATAAGTATGTCAATTAGGCAATTTGATCTATGACGATACAGATTCTTGAAGGCCAGGAAGTTTGATATTGAGAAAACAAAGCAAATGTGGGCTGATATGATCCAGTGGAGGAAGGAATTTGGCGCAGACACAATCATGGAGGTATATGTGAACAATCTACATGACCATTTGTTGGAAATGTTTCTATATTAGGTGGCTGTATTGTAGAGGTTTACGATTAATGCCTTTCATCTGAATCTTTCACTTGTGTTGCTTAGGATTTTGACTTCAAGGAAAAAGATGAGGTCCTCCAATACTATCCACAAGGACATCACGGGGTTGATAAGGATGGACGACCTGTTTATATTGAACTAATTGGTAAAGTTGACTCCAACAAGCTCTTGCAAGCCACAACAATGGACCGCTATGTTAAATACCACGTACAGGAGTTTGAGAGGACCTTCATTGATAAATTCCCAGCCTGTTCTATCTCAGCAAAAAAGCACATTGATCAGAGCACAACTATTCTGGATGTACAAGGAGTGGTATGTGAGATCCTTGCAAATATTAACCAAACAGAATTTATACTTGGTTTTCTAACTGATGTTTTGATGAACCATGGAAAAATAGTTACGCCACAAACCATTTTAACATACAAAATGGCTATGATCAACCTGCAAAATGTGTGCCAATCCCTTCTACCATAATTCTTCAAGATTGTGTCAAGCAAGGTTCGGTCGATGGCCACAAACCATCTACAAGAATCATGCTTCTTTAGTAATCTGTCAGATCCGTCTTTGTGCTTCACATATGAGGCAGGGTACATAAAATAGTATTGTGATTTTCTTGAATTTATCGTAAGAAAAGTTAAAACCGGGAGGGCAAGAATCAACATTTTTTCAAAAGAAAATGAAGTGCCACCGATTTACTTTTTTCTTTATGGCTCAGGGATTGAAAAATTTTAACAAATCTGCAAGGGAGCTTATCCAGCGCTTTCAGAAGGTTGATGGTGACAACTATCCTGAGGTAAGTTTGTCTCTGTAAGCTCAATTGCTCTTGTTTCGTGGTTTTTCCATTTTAATGTTTAATTCTCTATTATTGAATGTTTGTCCAATTTAGACACTTTGTCGCATGTACATCATCAATGCTGGTTCTGGATTTAGGCTCTTATGGAACACGGTTAAGTCATTTCTTGATCCTAAGACCACTGCAAAGATTCATGTAAGTTTTTGTAATCTGTTTACATCACATTCAAGTCAATTCGGGTCAAATTTTTATTAATTAGGTAATGGTTCTGTTACAGGTTCTTGGCAACAAATACCAAAGCAAGTTGCTTGAAATAATTGATGCTAGGTAAATTATTTCTTGTAATGCAACTGACATAGAATTTTCATTTGTGCTGGATATCTCATCAGAGATAAATTCATTATAGGTCGTCTCCATGTGACATCTTAGTCAGAATGTTACTATCGGAAAACTTCCTGAATAGTCTCTGTTAAACACAATACAACATCTTAAAATTCTGGAACCTCACAGAAAATTATTTTCCTGATCTGTATCAGTGAGCTACCAGACTTCCTGGGTGGTACATGTACTTGTGCAGATAAAGGTGGCTGCATGCGAGCCGATAAGGGCCCATGGAATGATACAGAAATAATGAAGGTTTTCTGCAACTCTTTCTATTAAATTCTGAAGCATTTTATATTATTTATCATCATTAGTACTAAAAATATTGTTAATTTGTTGGGCCAGATGGTTCACAGTGGTGCGCACAAATGTTCAACAAAAATTTTGATTCCGGCTGTTGAAGAGAAGACAATTTCTGAGGATGAGAGTGCTAACTTGAAGGTATTTAACCCTTGGACAAGTATCTGCAATTTTTTTTTTGGGGGGGGATTTTCGACCTGCCACTTTATAGTGGACTTCACAATACTAAACATATACTCACTTTTATCACTGTAGAATGTGAAGAAGTGCATTTCTTTCAACTCTGAAACAGACTCTCCCAGACTTCCGAGGGATTATGCAGCGTATCCACAACTCTCTCCTGTGCATGAAGAAGTGAGTCGTTTCTGCTCTCATCACACGTAAATCATGCCTTGTAATTAGTAGTTAGGATCTGAGGTGAGCAGCTAAATCAACCTGCTTAGATAGCATCTAGGGATATGGCTTTGCATATGTCTTAGCATTGTGTTAGACTGGACCATAAAGCCTTTCTTCTCAATTTTCTTATACAACCTTCTTAGTTTTCAGCTTTTTCGGAAAGATGCGATTCAGGTCAATTTCTACTCCTTTTTTTTTTTCAAGAAATCACGTGCCTCTCAATCTGGATACATATTAAAATAACAAATTGATTTGGTTGAAAACGCACGTTATAATCAGCCAGACTGACTTGGAGGATCATGATGCTTTGAAACTATTGTTGACCTATCAAATTTTGGAAGACTTTGTTATTATCCTTGCTTACATTATTATAATCTTACACATTAAATGCGGAGACATTGTAACATTATGGAAGATTAGTTTCAAGTATATTCATAGTGGCTGCAACTCAGAACTTGAAAAATCCTATCCAGTATGCTCTTTTTTCTTTTGTTTTTTTTTTGGGGTGTGTGTGTGGAATATATAGGATTGAGGTGGAAAGTGCAGTAACATATCTCTTTCTTACACCTTATTTGGTTACCCACGCAGTTGGTCATGCCAATATTATTGTATCAATCACTGTAGTTTTAAAGAGTGACATTTACATATTTAGCATAGAAAGGAATCAAAAGAAGTGAGTTCCAATTGTATCATAGTGTTATGAAAGAAAATAGAGAAGGGAATATGCTATGGAACATAATTTCCATTAAAGTGGTAGGAGATATGGTAAATTATGACACTCTTCTAAGTTTTCATACCTTCAGTTCTCTACCTTTGGGACGAACTTGAAACAGAAGAAATGTGCCTTTCTTTTCCTTTCTCTCTGCATCTCTGTGTCCACCAATTCAAAGATAGGAAACGGATTTCCCTTCCTTTTCTACTTACGCTCCTCATTATTTGTATTTTTGTCCCTCTATTTCCCCATTTTGTATTAACTGATGCATTTGTTGAATGATTTTGTTTAAAAAAAAATCTGCAGGTTAACGTAAGCAAAAACTACCACAAGGGGTATCAGCATGACTATTATGTTCCAGTGGTTGATAAGGCCGTAAATGAAACTTGGCCTGAAGTGGTGAAAAGCAACAAGTTTGCTCTTTCTAAAGGTACATGATTCAGTCTTAGAATATCTATAGTTTTCATAGTCCTTGGATATTTGTCTACAGTTATTCTCATGTCAGATGCCATGACAACTTTGTACGATCAATCTGTCCATATATTTCTTCTCGAAAGTTCCTCTTGATAAACGCAGGAAATTGCTTCTGTCACTGGTTCAATTTTATTTGTTTCATATATTGAAATGTTGGGAGATATCTGAAGCATATTTTGATATCAATTGAAAATATGACATGAACTTTTTCAAGATTCTAGTGAAGTGGAGGAACTTTTACAGTTTGTAACTGCACCCTATTATGATTTACATTAACAAATTAAGAAGTATATTTCTTTTCAGCTACAGATTATTATCCGATCCACGATGCTTGCAAGCCTACAGATGGAATAAGCAATCAGATTTTCACTGGTGTAATGACCTTTGTTTTGGGCATTGTCACTATGGTTCGTATGACACGCAATATGCCCAGAAAACTTACAGATGCGACTCTCTATTCTAGCTCCATGTATGGTGTTGATGAGATGATCAAAGGCGAGGCTCTTCCTTACAAGCTACCAGCACCTGCCATCTCCAGCACCGATTATTTCACCATGATGAAGCGCATGGGTGAACTGGAGGAGAAAGTCAGTGTTTTGAGCAATAAACCAGCAGCAATGCCACCTCAAAAAGAGGAAATGCTGAACAATGCTATGAGTCGTGTTGATGCCTTGGAGCAAGAGCTTTCAGCAACCAAGAAGGTATCCTTCTGGTTCATTTGAATACTCTCAGGATTGCTAGAATTAGTGAAACAACTGCATAATTGCATTAATCAGGAGTTGTGAATATGGTTAATTGATTTTTCCATGTGTGGTTGATTGAAACATTCTGTCTTCTTGACTACAACAATATAGGAAGGGTGAATCCCATTTTGCCGGTTGAAAGATACAAAAATTTACAATTTGTCCCTCGAATGATTAATTTTTCCACCTTGCCCCGTCAAAGAATAAAAAACGTTGCATTGTGATTTACCGTCTTATTTTCGTTTGGTCTTCCATCTATTTTGTGCAAAATCAACCAATCAGGAATCACAATACAAATGGACGACCAAACGAAAATAAAATGGTGGATCATATTGCAATGTTTTTTTTTTGAGGGGGCAATATGTAAAAATTAATCATTCGGTGGACAAACTAAGAATGTTTGTATCTTTCATGGGACAAAATGGGATTTTTTTCATATTTGAATGAACTCTAAATTGGATAACTAGATAGATGGTAGGTAGGAGTGGTAATGATTGTATCGTGTCAGTTTCGTATTGTGTCTATCTTGTTTTCTGTCAATATTTATTCAACTCATACCTACCTATTTATAGTCGTGTATAGTTGATTTGTGCGGCATTTGACACCCAACCCGTTTAGGCTAAACTCAAGTTTGCTAATTCCCTGTTCATTTCCTATCATGCCTACAGTTGCCAGTCAAATGCTAACAGAAAGGATAGCATTGAAGTTCTTAAAAGCTAGAGAAATAGATCAAAACATGTGTTCTTTACATATTTTCTGTGGCACTGTGCAGGCACTTGAGGATGCTCTAGTTCGACAGGAGGAGCTCATAGCCTACCTCGATAAGAAGAAGAAGAAGAAGAAGTTTTTTGCTTTCTAAGTTCAGAACCATTATACTATCCTCGTGATCGGCACTTAAGATGCTGTCCAGTGATCTCTATCTATACCGATGTTTGCTTTGTTAAACACTCGAGTCAAAAGCTTTTGTATAAATCTCAATGATTTGACACTCTTTCCTTATTAACTCTTGGCGTGGTTTAATGGAAGACCAACATCGTCTTCTCAAGCTTAACATTGATCGTCTACTGTTTATAAAGCTCAAATGAATCATTTTTATGAATTTATTTTACCAGGATTCCAATTGCAGCTGTATCTTCGATTTTCCCCATTGACAAGCACATAACGCAAGGAGCATGCGAAGTGACACTCGTCGAGACCATTCGAAGCCACCCGGGCTTGCCCGTGGTGGTTACTGAGAGCATATCTGACGTGAAAGTGCTTCACTACATGCTAAAAAACTATGTTGAAAAGTGGCATAGGAGGTCATTCCTCGATTTGTGAGTGTACATAATAAGCATGCTCACTATAGAATTGCACTTGGTTTCTATGTTTTCGATAGGCAAAAAAGTTCCTTAGAATATGAAATTGTCTAATTTGATTCGCGTGACTCAAAAACAGTATTCGAAAATTATTTTTAAAAATAAATTTTAAAAAAATGTGTTTTGATATTTTTTGTGTCGCATAATTTATTTGGTTATGTGATTCCAAAAACAATTTTACGAAATAAAAAATAATAAACTTTGTTAAAAAATGCGATGGCAATGGTGTTTTCTAAATTCTAGAAATTTTATTTCTAAAAACACACAAAACAACCTTAACTTGTAATCTACCCACTTTTTATTCTCAATTTTCAAAAAACAGAAGCAAAAAACAACGGGTCAAACAACTTTTCTCCCAAAAACAATTTCTGAAAATAAAAAATTAATTTTTGAGATGCAAACCAAACATGAAAATTTTTTCGGTTTCAACCTTCCCAGCAATGAAGATTCTTCAATAGTGTTTGGTCATAAGCTTCTTTCCTTTTAACATTGCACAAAGAGGTCTGAAGTCGAAACAAATTAAACCCCATAAAAAACACACAACCGTATGTAATTAATGGGTGGGAAACAAATGAATAAATACTCACCACACATTTTTCACAACAGGGTATGTATCCATCGCGAGAGTAAATTACTTAGTTAAAAACAACCACCCTCAGCAAGATCAATGTGGATGAGGGTGTATAGCAAACATTTGCATGGAAAATCAAACTCGAAAAACAGCTGAATATATCCCCTTGCATAGACACTTCACAGCCAGCACACATCACCAACAAGATTTCTTTTTCTGCTTAAAACACGAAACATATTAGCTAAAGAGAGAAAAATCTCCTTGTTTCTAAGTAAAATTGTCTTATATTTTATTTATACAAAATGGGAACATCTACAATAAACTCACCCGAAACTTAGCTTCTTCTTCACTATCTATGTAGGCAAGCAGTTCCTCTTGCCTCATTAAAGCTTCATGCAAAGCCTGGTCAGAAAGACAGCATGTTTGTAATCAACCAAGATGTAATCAAGATAGAAACATGCGCTAATGCTTATGTATAGTTAGAACCTTAGTGCCACAATCAGTGGAAAGCGCAAAGAACATGCTAAAAAAGACCATGGCGTGCAAGCATGATGACGGCTACATGTTCAAAAATGAAGTTCGTTGCTCACAATGTAACATTGCTTTCCATGACAGAACTTTTGGTGAAGTGAAAAATGCTTGGCAGGAATTTGTAATAACTAAACACATGCATATACACGCACATAAATTCCTGCTACCAGTTTAAGGCTTCGCATCACTTAGAAGTCTTGTGAAAGTAAGCCAAACAATTGAGTATTCAATCGAGTAGGGAAACAGAGTTAATGGTGAAGGAGTGATATAATGTTAATAGGTAGTATAAAGACCTCAAAATGGACTGTAATGTTTCACACGAGAGTTCCACTACTGTGATGATACATTAAGTTACCCACACGATGACAGAGTACCGGCGATTTAAACCATGACAGGTGTAATTCAACAATATTGATGTCAGTGGCAAACATACTATAATCTAACACTATAGTGCATATACCTTTTTTGTTGCAATTAACTCGGCCTCTAGGGCATCAACACGACAAACAGCAGCATTCAGCAATTCCTCTTTCTCATAGGGCATCTCAGATGGCTTTGCTTTAAGTGTATCCACCTTCTCTTCTAGCTCGCCCAGTTTTTTCAGGACAGAGGAGAGGAGTACTGCCTCTGTATATGCTGGCGTTGGTGAGGAGGGGCAGAACTCTTCCTCCGGAAACGCAAATTCTTGAATGTTTTGGTTATGATCAGATGATTTGCCAAGACGTTTTAGGGTGATGCGGTGGGCCACTGAACGAAAGAGCATGACAAGGGTCATGAAGAAGGCCATGAGTGCTGCCAAAATCCGAGGACGGAGACCTTCTGGTGCCTTTTGAGTATCAGGTAGTGGAAGTTGTCCTGAATTACGTTTTTAAAATCAGATTCTAAAATGTATTATATTGTTCACTGATCAGTTTTGAATAAAAAGCAGCTTCAAGTAATTTCTTCTAAACTTAGACCACCACATTCCTTGTTTAAGCCGCTCTGTCATACTAAAGAGGCTGGCAGTGCTGTTACATAGGAGTTTTAGAACCAGATAAACCACAAATATGTGCAGGATACTCAGAATGTCTATGCTGACCTACAAAGGTGCCAAATGAACCATTGTACATGAACTAGAGTCATTATTAACACTAAATAACAGGGTTCATAAGTAAAATAAAAACAGGGTGTACACAGCCCCATTTATGCCAAATGCATGCCATTCAAATGGAATTTCCACTAAATCTAGTGTCAGTAAACAAAATCACACTATCACAGCAGATAAAATAGCACACTAAGATATGTTCAGTGGCAGGACCATATTCAAGTGAATCAAATCATTGATAACTGGAGCCCATACGTAACATAAAAACAGGGTGTACACAGCCCCATTTATGCCAAATACATGCCAGTCAAATGGAATTTCCACTAAATCTAGCGTCAGTAAACAAAATCACACACTATCACAGCAGATAAAATAGCAGACTAAGATATGTCCAGTGGCAGGATCATATTCAAGTGAATCAAATCATTGATAACTGGAGCCCATACATACCTACCATCCATAGAATCACATAGGGAGCATGTAAGCATAAAATAAATACCCCACCAAAGAAACTTAGAAGGAATAAAACTAGGGCCACATATATGCCCACTTTTACCAACCTTTAGGAGTACAAGGTTTTCGAAGGGATGCTTGCTTATTCCAACCAGCATCAACAGCCTTGTCAACCATAGGAACATATTCATCATAGCCTGACAAGCGACCAGCATAACTTGGCATTCCAATTACCTTAGCCTGCTTATTCATGGAAATATAGGAGGAACATCAGTAGGTGCCACACATTATTAGTGCATCAGTGATAAACATATACATATGCACTCTCAGTTTTGCAACCAACTACAGTAATAACCACAGAAGAGGAAGCTACCATTCTCAAGATAAGTAAAGCAATATAAGTTTGAATTTGGTCGAATCAGTTCTCACATTGAACATTACTTGTATGCAAAAGCAGAACATTCAGACTTGAAATTATTCGTGATTATCTAGAACCATCGTGGAGATATCAATCACAAAGTAAGGATACCAAAACATACTTCTTCCCGAACAGGAGTCAACCGAAGATGTGAATAATTCCTTATTGCTTTTGGGGAAGCAATGTCTTCTGCTTCAGATCCTGATTCGGCAGTCGATGTATCACTGCCTTTTACCTGCTTCAGTAGAATAAAAAGACAAAATGTCACAATCCTCACCCAAAGAAAGACAGGAGAAAATGTAGCCATGTCCAAGAAGATAAAAAAATTGAAGAAATCATACCATCGGGTATTGGGGCTTAGCATAAGCAACTACCTTCCCCTCACTGTTCAAGACTTTTACGACCTGCCTGCCACGTCGCGCTTCACCATTAAGAACCATCTGCACCAAGGTGCCCACGGAAGCAATTGTTTTTCAATTAAAGCAAAAATTAGGTACAAAGGGTGAAGTTACTAATGGATAGTAAGTCATGTGTTATTGCATTTGCATGAGTTAACGAAAAACAAAAAGGTATTAAACGCCAGAGCAGAACCTTCAATATCTCTGGATTTTTCCATGGCCCCTTATCAGAACGAAGGCAACCACCTTGATCCACACAAGTACATGTACCACCCATGAAATCAGGCAACTCACTAACAATTCCCAAAAACCAATTTTGTTAACCATGAAAAGGGGTTTAATAATAAGATTAGATCATATTCAAAGTAGAATTGCACTCTCATTACCTGGCATCTATTATCTCAAGCAATTTGTTCGGGTACTTGTTTCCAAGAACCTAAAAATGGATCCCAAATAGGAAAAAAATCACATGGTGAATGTCAGTAGTCTCCAAAAACTATGCTTTATAACTCCCATATGATAGGAGATAGAATATTGACATACATGGATCTTGGAAGTGGTTTTGGGATCTAGAAAAGATTTTACAGTGTTCCACAGCAGCCTAAAGCCAGGACCAGCATTGATGATAAACATTTGGTGGAGTGTCTGCAGTAACAAAAGGGTTCAAAATCCAGGATGTCATCCCAAATTAATCATTTTCACCAGATAATCAACAACGAAGCATTGAGCAGAATATAGTTGAGTTAAGAAGTTTAGATTACTTCAGGGTAATTGTCACCATCAATCTTCTGAAGTCGCATAATGAGATCCCTCGCACCCTTGGTGAAGTTCTTCAAACCCTGAAAGATTGATGATGACATAGAAGATCTGGTGAATATACTTAAATATGGTTGAACTATGTGCTTGGCAATTTCAACATTTAGTAATCAAGGAAAAGGAAATTTCCTAGGAGGTAACATACCACTCCTTGAACGTCTAAAATTGTTGTGCTTGAATCGATGTGCCTTTTTGCAGCAATTGTACAAGCTGGAAACTTAATTGCAAAGAATTTCTCGAACTCCCGCACATGGTATTTTATGTATCGATCCATGGTTGTAACTTGCATAAGTTTGTTGGGATCAACTTTGCCTAATCTTTCAATGTAGATGGGTCTTCCTTCCTTATCCACACCATGATTACCATGGGGGTAATATCTCAGAACTTCATTCAACTCCTTGAATTCAAAATCCTGATTTAAAAAATCCAAACAGTAAACATGTTAGAATTCGTCTAAGATGTGACGAGGGATACCATGCCAAAAAAGCAAAAACAATTATAGATCCATAGATCAAACAAATTGACGACCTAAACCAGCAAACTGAGGCAAAATTCCAGATATGGATACCTCCATGATTGTGTCGGCACCAAATTCCTTCCTCCATTGAATCATATCAGCCCACATGTGCTTCGCTTTTTCAATGTCAAACTTTCTTGCTTTCAAAAACCTGAAAATAGTGCATAACAGTGTCACATACCATGTAAACATGGTTATAACACTAGGGGCAGAAAAAATTTCTTCCCAACGTGAACAGAACAAATAACCATGAAACAAGTCCAACCCAATTTTTAACCAGTGACACCTCCACCCGGGGGGGGGGGTGAAAGATTTTCTAGCTTTCTCCCCTGGTATAAACCACTTTTTCTTTTCCCCATTAGGAAAGGAATTTGTCAACACTCAGGAACCACTGCAAAGCCTCATGACATGATACTAATATGTCTAGCACTCCAATACAGGAAAAGACGTAAATTAATTTTCTGTATGCATTCCAATGTCACAAAGGGGGATGAGAGGGAAGGAGAGAACATCAAAGCATGACTAAACTCCGAATAGAGAAGCCCAATGAAAGGAAATCATAGAAATCCAGATGTTGTCAACCAGTTCAAGGTCAACGAGAAGGAAGGCATGTGAAGTACAGGATGTAAGAGGAATTGGAAATTACACAAGATATGAAATCAATTTTTCTGCTCATCTTTACGGGCAAAGTAAACATTCCATAATATGCCATCTAACCATGGCCCACCAAGTCTGAATATCAGCATGGCTGATCTATGCTTTCAACAATTACATAAGTGATAAGTTGCTGACAATGAAACTCACATTAACAACACAAAATAATGATTACAAACCACATGATCATGATTTTGGCATAGAGGATGTTGAAGTGGAAACCTGCGCTGCCCCGGAAATCTTACATACAAATATTCCAGTAGAACAGATTCATGTTTACGCATAATCAAGATGAAATATTTATTAAAATGTCGGCACACCACAAAATTGCCTTCAACAATAAAAAACTCAACTTGCGTGAGACCTCCTATCAAAGAGGCATTACTAGCATAATTATCTATAAGTGCCAGGAAATCCGTGCAAATAATAGGGTGATTGTTCCAATTACCGAGACTAGCCTTAGAACGGAAGTGACAAGCAAGGATACATTTGATTAACATCGATGAAGTAAAAATTTGCACCCAAGGGATACAAAAAAGAGGAGGAAGGGATATGTACCTCAACATCATATGATAATCATCATGTTTCTCAGATAGCAATTCATCCAAAATCAATGCTTGTCGGAATGCATCAACATCCTGTAGCTCTCCAGCATCCCGAATATCTTCAATCGAAACAGAGCTAACTCGTCCATCACTCCTTCTTCTGGTGCTTTTTTTCTTGAGAGAATGTTTGAGCTTTGTAGATGCATTTAGTGCTTTCTTTTTCAGTGAACCAATTCTCGTCCTTCTTTCATCCTCTGAGTTCTCAAAATCAGATTTTCTTTCTCTTCTCTCATCATTACCAGAAGACCCATCAAAACCTGTCACATAGCCCAAGTAATACAACAGAGGATAGATTTAAAATTGATGACATGAATCCTGAGGACCTGAAGTGCATGTAAGCTAAAACGTGTTCCCTAATATAACTTTACTACTTTCTTGAGTTTTATCTTGTAAAACCTTGATGAAAAGTTTGAAAAACAGCTTTAGACAATAAAAACATTGAAATGGTAAACCGTCAACAAATTTACAAAAACCCAATAGGGTGAGCCTCCTCGATGGATGGCTAGAGATTTGGTGATCTTTTAGTCTAACGACCTTGCCATATCAAACCTGACAATTATACATGACATTTGCCCTATGAAAAAACTATCACCAACTACAATAAAAGGAGCGCAAAACACGGGAATTCTTGCCGTCATAACAGGATCATCTAAAACGAGACATCCAAAAGAGAAGCCTGCCTCTATAAAAGAGAAGCCTGCCTCTATAAACCACAGCTCCACAAAATTTCAGCCAGTCATACCCTTATCAGACCCCTTTCAGAAATAAATATTTCTTCAAACCCTTTGCATTAAATGAGAAAGTAAAAAAAAAAAATGGTAGTTTCCCTCCCAAAGAAAATCTTCCTCGAAACTATTTGTGCAAAACATCACTTCAAATCTACACTAATAAAATTCACGATCATATATCAAAGGGCAAAACCATTCAAATCTATCCATCTACAACATTTGCATATATTAAAGCCCTACTTTGGCAATCCGAGCACAATTCAACTCGATCAACTACCAATGCAGGTTAAAAAAACCAAAGAACATCAAAAGAAAGTGATCAATACAAGAAAGAGAACTCACAAGGCCTCGCGAATCGATCCAGTGGTCCTGACATCTCTTCACCAAAATCGAGACAACAACTCCTCAGATCCTGATGATCAATCAAGCATCACAAGCACAAATCTGTACACTACAAAAACTATATAGTCAAAACCCTAGCAAAATTGAGATTGAATTGAAATTCAACTACAATTCTGAGTTCTGAAGGAAAGTGTAAAGTGGTAGGAGTACCTGGAAAGCTGCGTCACGAATCACGAGGCTGATCGGACGGTAGTAAAATGCATCAAAACCGAAATTCAAGGGACCTTCGAACTCGTAACGGACTATGAAAAGATCCAAACTATGGAAATAAATTATATAAATAGAATGAGTATCTATCTATCGCCGGGTTGACAGACGGCGCTGAGAGAGGGGGAAGAGATAGACAGAGAACAGGTTTAATTGGGAAGCTGAGTTTTGGGTGGAGTGTGGGACCAGTGGGGGGAGAGATTAGTAGGGTCTGATGACACGTGGCGAAAGGAGCGGGATGTGGGGACGGAACGAGGAATCTGCCGGCGGTGAGTGGAGTAAATTAAATTCCAAGGTTGTTAATATTTGTGTAAATTGAGCAACGATTTGGTCACTGGCGGTGACGTACCTTGACGATTCAGATCATGTAGATCTGATCATTTATTTTTTAACTCATAATTTAATATTTTCATCATAATAAATCAGCCTATTTACCGTTAACTCTTTAATTATAAAAAAATATTTGAGTAGATCTCATTTTACCCCTAATGATACAAAAAAATTTCAATTTGTTCCCGAATGATTAATTTTCTTATATTATTCCCTTAAAAAATAAAAATATTATAATATGGTTCACCGTCTTATTTTTTTTGGTTATTTATCTGTTTTGTGATTCTTAATTGATTGATTTTGGCGCATTATGTAACCTATGTAAGGCTCTCTAGCCTTGTTCGAATGAATTTTTGGGTGGATTTGAATTGACATTCCCGAATCCTTTCAAACCCAAATCTTTTTTTTTACAAATATGAGATTCAATGTTAAATTCAATTCATAATCATGTTTAGTATGCAACATATACACATGTAAAGTCTAAGATATATCACAATTATTAGCAACCATTTGTCCTTTAAATGACTATGTTGCCCTTGGTCAATCCACTCGATATTCATGTTCGTTTACGTACATTTTCTTGTGTTCTTATGACTATCACATTTGATTTTTTTTGGCTTTCCTAAATTATGAAATAAAACATGAATATTGGTAAAATATAACTAGAAAGGAAGCTACAAAAGACAACTTTCAACTCCAATAACAAAATTTATCAATACTACTAATAAAAAAATGTTAGCATAAAAAAATTTTGATTCACTATTTTATCGTTATAAATACCACAATATCCTTTCATAGTTAAATATCTAAATTATCATATATCCTTATGTGTTTAAATTTTCAAATTACCCTTAACATTTCTTTTAATTATCTATTCTCTATATATAAATATCAATATCTATGAAACTTTTTAATTGACTATGTTACCATTTAAAAATAAGCACTAATTAGAATATTAATAATTATTATTTTTTTATTCAATGAATTATAAGTTAAAACCTAATTTTTTTTATCTTTTTTTTTAGTTAGAACAACAAATCGTTGTGAACAAACAAAAAATTATAAACTCTATAACATAATATGAGCGATAAAACATAATTTTTTATAAACTTGAGATAATATTTAATTTAGGTACATATATACTTAAAATTTGTTTATTAATATTTTATATATATAAATTATTCACGTGTAGTGCAGGTATTAAAAAATGACAACATTTAGGCGAGATAAAATAAATAATATTTTAAGGGATACAATTGTCTTTTGTTATCTCTCTTTTGCAATCGACCCCCACTCCCCCGAGTTTGATAAAACCCATGTTCATGGGGTTCAACCTCTGGACCAGGCTTGATAACCAAGACTTGAAAATTAAACCCAAACAAAGTGTTTGGACTATTTTTCCTAAATTTTAGATATCAATCCCCCCAAACCCACAAAACAAATGGCCCCTCTGAGTTTATCATGTAGCCAATATCCATTTCAAACCACGCTCTTATGACCCATGAACATATAAACAATAAAGACTAAGGGCTTATTTGAATGTTTTTTTTGGTAGGGTTTTGATTGACTTCTTCAAACCCTTATTTACAAGAGATGAGATTCACCATTGAATCTGATTTATACTCATATTTGATATGTAACATATACACATATAGCACCCACGGATATATCATAATTATTAACAACTATTTATCTTATAAAAGACTATTTTACTCTTGATCAATTTAATTCATACTCAAGTTAAGAGATACAATTATTTTTTACATCCTTAACCCCTTAATTCATCTTCTCAAACTTACGGGGCCGTAAGTTTGACAAAACTCATACTCGTGAGTTTAATAATTAGGCCAACTGCGGATCAAATTTGAGAACCACCGATTGAATTTTCAATCCAAACATAAAATTTGTGAATCATTTAAATTATTTTTCTCAAATTTATCTTACCAAAACCCCCCTACCCCTTTACCAAACAATCCCTAAAGGACATATACACCAGTGTATCTTCTTCTTCATTGTAAATTGGGCATGTTGGGTCATTAACACAGTTCGTTGGAAGCAAAATTATCAGTTATTGCCAGAGAATTCGAGGAACCCTTTCACCAAAAATGTCTGACATTTTGGTGTGGTTTTTAGACTCCATATCACTTTCCAGAGCTTCGGGTGGGCATCAGGTGTGGGGGAGGTAATTTATTTTCTTTGTATGCTAAATTTATTGGCAGACAAAAGACACACAGACGAACTAAAGTATTTTAGTAGCTAGAGGAAAATAAAGCAAAAGTAATTCTGATGGTAGTGACGAGCGAAACGAGAACAGCCTAAATTGTGAAAACGGAATTGTCGGAAAAGTAATATAAGCATGGTGCTGCTGGGCGAAGCGGTGGAGTACTGCATCCTAGATCTGTTGCTTTTTGTGTTGCGAGCCACTTTGTACCTTGATTTTATTGTATATATTATTTTGTTATTGAAACTTCATATCATCCTATCCTCTCCCTCAAGTTTTGCAACTCGTATGGAGACTATTTCTCTCTCTTCATCGTTTGCCCACCCTTAATTTTTTTTAAAACATATTTTAAGTATACTTTTTAATATTTTTAATTATACCCACTCTATTTTTTTAGTACATTAATTAGTATACAATTATATAAAACTAACAATCCATTACACGCGTTGCACGTGAATAATTTTCGTACACAAAAATAATAAAACATTAGTTATATATGTTTTTGAATTAAATATTATATTAAATTTGTCTCACTAAATTTTTTATTGCTCATATTCTATTATAGGATCATAAAAATTTTATATGTTCACATAATTATTCGTTCCAACTATAAAAAAAAATAAAAAAAATAGTTAAAGTTCTATTTGAAAAATTAGAATTTTTTGAAATTCATTTGATTAGAATTTCATTTATAATTTCTTGAATAAAATAAAAGTGATTGTCAATATACTAATCATATTGAAACCTTACTGTAATTAAGAATTATTTAGGTGAATTGAGATAAGATTTAATATACTATTCTTTAATATATATTATTAAGAAAATTAAAATTCTAAAAAAATTAAGTCTTACTTAAGAATACAATACTATATCTATTTTCACATAAAATTTTAATACAACTTAGAAAGTTTATTGTGATTGAAGAATTATATTGATGTAACATAAATTATTTTTATAAAATTATATATATGACTATTTTTTATATTAAAAATAAAATGGTTAAACTTTTCGTTAAACAAAAATACATATATGTAGGTATAATGTTATATTTTCATACGAGATAAATAATATTAGATTGATGGAGTGTTTAAATGTTTTATGAACACTTTAGTAAAAATATAATTATGTATATTTTTTTAAGGGTAATATTGTAAATCAAAATTTTTATACAATCTAATATTTATACATAGATAATAGATAATTAAAAGAGATTTAAATACGTAAGAATAGAGTGGTATTTGCAATTTTTCATAAAAATAAAATAGAGATTTAAAAGTTTTTTATATTAAAGTACTTTTATTAATAGTATGGATATAAATGAATATAATTTTTTTGAAAACTAAATAAATTTTGAATATATTAGAATCATTTTATACTTTTTAAGATTATAAAAGACATTATATACATATTAACTAGTTTACTTGTGATTTTGACATTTATTTGTTAATTACGATAAATATTATAGAGTGTATATTTAACTGCATAATCAAATAAGTGATAAATTCCGAAGGGATATAAATAATATAATTGTGTATATAAAGAATAATAAAGTTGTTATACAACAGTTTTAAAGTACGAAAATTCTCCGAAGTTAATTATAAATGATTTTAATTAATATATATTTTGTAAAATGATATAATTATTTTTTTTTTAATGCTGTCGTTTCTATCAATTATAAGAAATAAAAAATTAGTTTTTTAAAATATTTATGCTCACCCTAATACAAATTTTGGTTCCGCCCTTGGTTTGACACCATCTGCTTGAGTACATCAGCTTTCCATTCCCTTGATTAATGATCTCAAATTCAATTGTAATAATTCACCATCATTTAAATTAGAGTTTCTCTTCATTTAAATTTAAATTTCTTCATTGTATTGTTTAGTATCAATTTAAACTTTTTACTCAAACATTAACTTAAATTTGAATAAAATCCCAAGTAAAGGCTGGAAATGACCTTCTGATTTACATTTTGACTACAATAAATTTGTCTATTTATTTTAATATTTTAACTATAGTAAACATTTTAACTACAATACATGTTTAAATCGTACTTACTATTTAATTACAGAAAAATTTGTGACTACCTATTAAAAGTTTTACCCTCTATAAAATTTTTAATTATTTTTTACTTTTAACTATAGTAACAAAAAATTCACACAGTGCATGAGTACCCGCATTCTCTATATATCGGGCAATTAATATCAACTATGGCCACATGAGATCAAGAATAAATATTCAATATAACGATAACTACCACTTTTTCAATATCACGTAATGTAACAATTTAGTAGAAAAAAAACAAATGGACAAAGTGACTAAGCAGCCCTATTATTTTAGATGTAGTAATTATTGTATTACACGAATTAGGGGTGTTTGATTGCTCGCGGGTCTTATTATCCAACCCAAAAAAAATATGTTTGAAACTCAATAAGCTTGATAGTTGGTCCGCCTAAATTCGAGTCCAATATTCTTTAAGAGAGGATTTGAGTTTACCCCAAACCCATTACTTGGCTCCGAAATCTGCCCCCCCCCCCCCCCCCCCCCAAATCAGTAAAAATGTGCCAATTAAAACTCGACCTAGGAACCTGTCTATCCAGCCCAGCCCAATGGGCTCGTCCGTCAGCCCTCTCCAATAAACACACATGAAAATAAATTTTTTCAGTGCCAGAATTTGAAATTTTAAAAATTTAGATAATATAAATAATGTATTATTTTATTTTCATAAATTAAACATACACGCTTTAAAAGGTACAGTTATAAAAATGATAAATAGTTATGTAGGTGTCAAACTAGTTGGGATATGTTTATTTTATTGTGATGTAATTCTTCTTCTATTTATAAATAAAATTATTCAACATTTACTTTTTGTACATTTTAACTCTATTTTTAATTCAAAAATATAATTTATAAAAATATTAAGTTATAAAAATATTCATTATTTTTAAGAAATTGTATGTAAAAAGTCATTAAAGTAGGCCCTCCCAATAGGCTTGCCCCCCAAAGCTCGCCCAATGAGTGACAGGTGGGGTTGTGAAACTTATTCCTACTCGAAGTCTAATTTGGCTCGCTCGATAATTTAATTGTATAAGGACTTAGGCTTATTCTACAAAAACTCAACTAGAAAAAAATTTCACGGGCTGAGCCCAGTCTAGCCCATGGACATCCCTCACGAATGGATGATTAAATTTTGAGCAATATTATTGGGATTTAATTTATTGACATAATTTACTGTAACATTTGGATTGATTATAAGTTCCATTAAACATTGAAACTTGATATTAATTCAATAATTTTTATAAAATTACATCATTATGTTAGTAAATTATGTCAACCTTTTAGATTCAAATAACATTATTCTTAAATTTTATACTTAATAAAATTTAACAAAAACTTAAAAAATATGATATTCGGAGGAGGAAGGCCCGGATCCATCACATCCTAGTATGTATTTACTATTTAGCGATTGACACAGCTATTCCACGTCGAATAGTTTTGGGTGTGTGAGTTCAGTTTAAATGTCTCACTTGTCACTTCCTATTTTAAGAGGTTGTGTTAAGTGTGTGTCAAACAAAATGAAAAAATCACTTGGTGTCTTGTATGGGGCGTTCAGTGTTAGACTGAAATCCCATTCTCTGGGCTAGAGGTCTTGCGATTACGGTAATTATTCCTAGGTGTTGGGACTTGGCTATTCCACGTTAGGTAATTTTAAGTGTATGAGTTCAGTCTAAATGACCACTTGACACTTCCTCGTTTAAGAGGTTCTGATAAGTGTGCGTCACATTAAAAATAAAATAAAATTAGAGCATTTAATCCCGTCCACGTGTCAGAACCATGTTTAAAGATTCATTAAAGATCCATCCTATCAAAGTGGAATAGGTCACCTAACTGAACCATTATTATGGATGGTAGTGGACTGAAGAAAAACGGATATTCGTTTAAATCTGCCCCCATTTAGATCGAAGATGAATTATACGTATTAAAAAGGCCCGTCATTTATTCGTCACACGGGGTTTAAGTTATGGTACCACTTGCACTCTCAGCACATCCACTTCAAAGATCCCCATAATATAAAAGAGCATCGCTACAGATCGCCCTTGCGAATATTGAAGGTTGCGGATTTGATCTTTCCGCTCTTGAACCTAGTAAGCTCTCCCCTCTCTCTCTTCCATCGTTTTTATTTTTTTGTGTATAATCTTTAGTTTATATCACCTCCCATTGCGTCATGTTTACAATCTTTAGTTTGTGATCTTTAGCTTTTTATTTTTTTGTTGCAGAATCTTTAGGCATATTGTGCGAATTAGTTCTTCTTGTTGTCCATTTAAATTGTTCCATGCTTTGTTTGTTATGATGATTTAGCTCTGGCTTTGATCCGTTTTTAATATCTAGAGTTTGTAAGTTCTTGATTTTGTCATATCAATGGTTCAGGTTCTTTACCGATCTTTTGAGTTATTCTGTTTCTTGTCTCTATGGGGGCTTTATTGCAGTCTTTGTTCTTGAATTTCAATTTCTTATTGTGTGTATTTTTTATTTTTTTTTGGTCTGGCTTATTGTGTGTATTCATGTATATATAAATGTAGGAAGAGTAATTTATTTTTGTTTAATTTTCTTTTCTTAGTTTGAGTCACTGAGGGCTTGAAATCTTGTTTGTATCAAGAATTGCCCGATTTTAGGCTATGGTGAAAGAGACCGAATATTATGACATATTGGGAATTAGTACGGATGCATCTCCAGTGGAGATCAAGAAGGCTTACTACGTTAAGGTCAGACCTCCCTCTTACTATGTCTTCAAGATGTTTAATTTTGTATGTCTGTTTCAGGGGAGATTTATCCATCCCATTATTCATACAATCTAACAATGCACGCTAATATCATCTGGGATTGGGCTTTTATTCTGTAGGCAATTTTATATGTGTGTGTATGGTTTTTTTTCTTTATCTAATTATCTAATTTTATATGTGTGTATGACTACTTAACTCTTAGCTACAAAGTATTGTTATACAATTTTCAATTCACAACAACATTTGAAAAGGCATGTAGAAATTATCATTTAAAGTTTGTAGACTATCTACTCAAATCTCCCCCACCAAAAAAAAAAAAAAAAAAAAAAGGGAGGAAATTTTGCGTTTGCCTCGCCATGAATTGGCAATAGGAGAAATCTTTAATCAGCTCAAGCTTCGAATTAATTTATTTCATTTTTTTTTAGGCAAGGGTAGTTCACCCTGATAAAAATCCTGGAGATCCAAAAGCTGCTCAGAATTTTCAGGTAATGTACTATTATGCTGCATTTTGAGTCCTGTAGAACTGGGTTGAATTAATTTTTTCAATTCGATGTTGGCAAACATAAACATAATTCTGTTAATAGTATGAGTGTAATCATGAGATTTCTGTCAATGCAACAGAAAAAAAGGAAACAAAAGGAAGCTCTGTATCAATTAAGTTTTCTCACTAAATTAGACTTTTTGATAAATGGTTTTGTTAAATTGCCTGAGTTCTACATACAAAAGGTTTATTTGAACCAGAAAAGGTTTGAGACCTAATTCAATTTTTTTTTAAAATGATCCTGCTTAGATTATACTTCGACCACACTTCATAATTATAGTTATCTGTCAGCAGTTATTTTGTGGGTTATGTGTGTGAAGGTTCTTGGGGAGGCTTATCAAGTTTTAAGTGATCCCGAGAAGCGTGAAGCATATGACAAACATGGAAAAGTTGGAGTTGCACAGTAAGTGTACATTTAAAGAAGATAGAAAAGTTGCTTAGGGCCCCGTAATGGTCTTTTGGTACAAACTGCCATTTTAGTTTGCTAAAGGAAATTCAAGTTTGACCCTTAAAAGGTTTATTTTACATTTCCTTTTTTTCCGTTTCAGTCTTCAAGCAAATTGAAGCCAATCTTGGAAAAAACTGGTTTAATTGTTTTGTTTCTCTTTGTCAGGGACTCCATGGTGGACCCTTCAGTTGTTTTTGGAATGCTGTTTGGGAGTGAATTCTTTGAGGATTATGTTGGGCAATTGGCCTTGGCGTCTTTGGCAGATGTTGAAATTCAAGAAGAGTCACAGGTTCCTGAAGTTCGTGCGCAAAAAGTTCAGGAGAAGATGAAGGTATTCTTCCTTCTCATTGGTGTTCTTAATTGCCAACTGCTCAACACACTATATCAAACTCTCCTGTCCACTTTATTTTACAGGCCTTGCAAAGGGAAAGGGAAGAAAAGCTCATTACAATCCTAAAAGATCGTCTTCAACTATTCGTTGATGATCGAGCAGATGAGTTTGTGGAATGGGCAAAATCTGAAGCTCTCCATCTTTCGGAAGCTGGTAAAAAAGTTTTCCATATTCCTTTTTTTCTAATATATTGTATGTCATTACTGTTCTGATTTTGTTAATTTAAAAGGTGGGAAAGTGAGAAAACCTTAAAACAACATTTTAGCATTGCACATACGCATGGAAGAATGGGTGTCATAAGGTAATCAAGTCTGATATTGACTTAAAGGATATGACAAATTCACATGTATTTGGGACCCTTGACAAAATATCAAGTTGAGCCAGTCTCTTTGTGCCTGATAAAATTGTGTTGGATGAATTTAAAAGTTCAGCACTTGTTCCTTCATTTAGCTAGAAGTTTGAAAAAAGCAATAGGAACTTGCAAAGCTTTTGACAGATCTAATCTGGCTGCTCTCAAGTGCTGATAATTCAGTAAATTTTGCTATAATTGGCTGAAATGTAATATCCAGCTGTTGAGACCATATTGTAACCATATGCGAAGTACTCTAAGGTGGTTTTTGGTAACGTTTTATTTTGTTTTTTGTTTTGTGTTTAGTTTTCAATTTATTTTGTTTTGAATTTTGTTATTATTATTTTAAACAAAAAACGTGTTTGACATTCTGTTTTTGGTTTTAATAAACATATGTAGATCATCCACAACAATCCGTATGTTCCCAGCTTTGTTATACCCGTGGACCAAGACCCATTACTCCAGCCCTTACAAAAATAATTGTATATCTCTCAAGTGTAGTTGTTAAATCGTGTATCAGAGGACGTATCGTTTTTTCAAAATAGTGTGTCGTATCGTGTATTGTAAGATACGTGTAATTTTACTTTTTAAATAATTATTAATAAAATATATGTATATATCTTTGTAAAAAAGTCATAGACTCGTAATAATATAGTATTTTATTAATATTCCACTAACTATTCAAGTTCTCAATATAGTTAAGTAATATCAAAATGTAAAGATTTTTAATTCAAACTTCTAACATCAACTGCTTGAACAACCTTAATATTAATCAGGAATTTTGAATTCAATTGAACAACATTAACAACAGACTTTATTTATTTTTTTTAAATCATAACCACTGAAACGACGTTGTTTCATTAGATAGTGATTTAAAAATAAGTCTTATGGTAAAACGATGTCATTTTAACCCAAGAAAAAAAAAAATTTAAAAAAAACAAAATCTTCACGTATCGGGCATATTGTATTGTGTATCGTATGATACAGTGTAAAAACGATACAGAGACGTAATACGTATTATTTTTCAGGTGTATCGTAACGTTGCGTATCGTACAATACTAATAACTCTGCTCTCAAACATTTCATCAAATAAATTCCGGGCTGCATTCAATACACCAACTCTCGCCTACCCACCAAGTCATTGTATCCTCTCAAGCATTTCATCAAACAAAACAAAGACCGGGCTGCGTTCAATTCACCAACTCTCTCCCCTTCCCGTTATTTAATACTAAGAAACACTATCTCGTCACCGCCAATTCTCACAATAATTAACACATGAAGAATCACATTCGGAATACATGACAATTACCGAGTTGGTACGAGGATATGCGAACAAAACCCAAAATTGCCAATATGATGGGTATGAATCATTCTCACAAGTTTCAGGCAAGATTGCCCACAGTAAGCCTTTGAAAGACATGGACACGTAAAATTGTCCGCTAGAACTTGACTTTTCAAAGAAAGTTGCAACCACTTGCGAGGGATGAAAGCTTTTAATGTGTCCTCCAATCATGGAACTGGACAAATTCACATTTGGGCACTAATTCTACTCAAATTGACACTTGAAACTCGAACCCACAATAAGGTGCGTTTGCTTCTGAAATCTCTTCCATCCACTGGATTTGCAACTTCTCTCTCCACTGGTTTTGACTTATTTGTGATGCCATGGATGTAGCGGTGTGTGTGCCATGGGCCAGTGACAGAAGCCTCACTATTTGGTTTGTTAAGTGCTGACGGTGCAGTGGTGGGGGGAGGGAAGGGAAGAGGTGGCAGTGCAATGGTGGGTGGGGAAGGGGGCAGACAACAAGAGTCAAGGAACGGGCATGGGTGTAAGGGGGAAAAAGCACGACAAGAGAAGGGAGGGAACGGTGATGTCGGGGTCCCCTGGGAAGGGGATGGGGTTTCAGCTGGGGCATTTCCAAATATTTGTCTTCCGTGTTTTTTGATTGAAAAAACAAGAGAAAGGAGTTTCCCTCTTTTGAAAAACAAGGAACATGTTTACTGAAAAAAAAATACCAAACTAAGAGATCCAGATTATTGTTTGTCCCTTGGTCCTTTTATTTCTGTAATTTTTTAGTTTGCTAACTTACATCGCCTGTTGCAACGTGCAAACTTTGAAGACACTTATGCAGAATAACATTATCAGCATCACCAGCATTTTTCTATTCTTTTTTTTTTCGGTTTATGTGAAGTGTGGTGACACAGATCCAATAGGAAAGACTCCTAAGGCTTCAGACCATGATGGATGAGATCAGGATAAAGTCTGAGTTTGTGTACTTTATCCCAAATAGCCACATAGCCTATTGAGAAGAAGTTGCCATGCGATATATGTGAGCTCTTAGCCTTAACGAATAACAACTCATTTTGAAGTTATGAGGATTAATTCAAAGAAGACAATTTCATGACTCATGTGTAGTTAAAGTGAGGACATGGCATAAAGGCTTCACTACCTAACAAGAATGCACAACGCCACAACCAATTCAATTCTCAGCAATCTCCCTCTCCTAGGCTGCTACTTTAATTTACAAGTAACATTTCTTGGTGTGCTGGCAGTGCGACGTGAAGCTTACTCTATACTTCATGTTGGCATGTAAGAAAAACACACTGTTCTGCTCAATTGTTTTATCTTCTGGTGTTATGTGAAAAATAAAAGAATTTGTAGTTTAATGTAATAACAAAATTATCATTTGGAAATTTTCTTTTGATTTTCAGACATGTATCTTGCCCTGAGTGCAAGACCTGTCCTCTGCTTGGTTTTGCTTTGTCTGGTTAGCCAAAGTTCTTTGGCTCATCTGGTCCAATATAGGGCCTGAGTTGTTCCCACTTGGTTTGATTGGCTTACAAGAACTAAGTATGAGACATTGACATAATTGTTACGGTTACATCATGATTTGGATATTGGGGTAGCCAGGAGTGTCAATTATTATAGGATTTGCATTCTAAGAAAACTTACCATGCTCAAATATATTTTAGCGGAAAAGAAATGACCAGAAATTAGGGTTTCATCAATTTTCTGTCGACTTCTTAGGGAGATTCACTTGAACTGATTTCTCATCATTGCAGCTTTTGGTGAGGCTATGCTGCATACTATTGGTTACATATACACAAGGCAAGCCGCAAGAGAGATAGGAAAGGACAAACGCTATATGAAGGTTCCATTTTTAGCAGAATGGGTAAGAGATAAAGGACACAAGATTAAATCGCAAGTTATGGCAGCCTCAGGTACAATTTTTTTGAAACATGCTTAAAGGTTATTGATATTTGTTTAAACTTCAAAGGAACCAAACAAACTTATTTGTCTTCTTAAGTGTAGGTGCTGTGTCTTTAATACAAATACAAGAGGAGCTGAAGAAGTTGAATGAAGGAGAAAACAAGGAAGAGAATATAATCAAAACCATTGAAGATAAGAAAGATGCTGTGGTTAATTCCCTTTGGCAGATTAATGTGGTGGATATTGAGTTGACTTTATCACACGTTTGCCAAGCAGTAAGTTCCCGTTCCCATATTTTTGATTTCAGCATTATAAATCATGAGCATTAAACAGGTGAAATTATGTTAGGAATGATATGCCTTTGAAAAATCTTATTACTTTATGTTACATTTATATTCTTCACCTGTCAAATAATTTGCTCTCAGAGAAAATTAAGCACAGATGGTGTTCAAACTGTAAGATCGTTTCATCCAAGAGGAAATCAAGCAAGTAATCTCTGCAAATAGTTTCTTCACGTTTTGTTAAATGAAGAAATATGAGAAATTTTTTATTCTTTTATTTCTAAGTGGCTCAGCCTGGGGAAGTTCTGATGCCATGATTTGGAATCTCTGCTTGGGATTACCATGAATATACTTGGCCTGCTGTTCATTTAATTATGCTCCAGATATCTGTACTGAGTTTGACTTGTTTTTCTGCTTGATAATTCCGTTGGAACCTACCCTTACATAGATTTAATTGCTTAAGAACTTAAGAGATACACAAGATAGCAGTCGCATTAAGTGTATCTACATATTGAGGAATGATTTTGATTTGGTGCTTCCGCTTCAGGTTCTTAAAGACCCTAGTGTTTCTAAGGATGTTCTCAAACTGCGGGCCAAAGCAATGAAGAAGTTGGGAACAATATTCCAAGTAAGTCTTGGTTTTCTTGACGTCTTTTTCATGTTACTCTTGCTAATATTTGAATTGTTCTTGCATAAAAACATAATGTCCAAGAAATACATTTTCTAGTACGAGATCTTAGCTTTCTTTTCTTTGTTGATTGCTCTCCTTTGAAATTGGAAATTGCACCATATGATTATTATTGGACTCGGTTATATTTGTAGACGTAAAAAATACAGAAAATTATGGGGGCAGTAATTAATCAATAAGGAAAAAAAGTTCATGAAGTACGCGAGAAATGCATAGTTTAATAACATAAGGGATGTTGGTAAAATACCATAAATAGCTGGCTAAATTGCAGGGGGAAATACAATTCTAGCATCTACCAATATATTTTGTGTCGTGGATGAACTTAATATTTATCCAGAGCCGATATTTCCTCCACTAATGTTCTATTTACAGCAGAAGTTTTGTAATTTTGTCTTCAGAGGAGCGACTGTCCAGGGATGAAGGAAAACCATGATGTTGAACTTTGAAATTCTGATGGAGATCTTAATATCATTGATAAGATTTTTCGAGTTTCCGAACGTAGAGTTTAGTACAGGTTAATCAGTCTCCATATGTGAAGGACTTGAATGTCAGTCAACAAGGAGAGCTTTTTGCACCCCACTTTATTTTTAACTTGAATCCAACCTATCCTACTAAAATTTCCCAGTTCATGATTCTGTTTCTGCCATGTTAGAGTTTTCTTTCGTTGTGAGCTACTAGAGTCGGCTGACGTGTCCAAAGGCAACAAGTACAGCATGCTAAATATGCAAAATATGTGGTTTCTAAACCAGTTTGTTTTTAGCTTATTAGGCTACTAGATTCTGATATTGCTGGTAATGTGGGATTCCGACTTCTGTCATTGGAGGTGACCAAGTAAAAACAGACGGAGAAGATTGTGAAACTGGTTGCAAATATAGTGACATTATATGAACAAATGCCTGAACCAAATTATGTCTATTGCTGTGGTAGCAAGTACAACTAAGGGGGGATGTTTAGTTCCGATCCTTATAGTACTCTTTGGGGAGTTATACGGCCAAATGAACTTTGAACAAGGAATCCCCAATGAGTGATTCATGGATGATATTGTTATTCATACTAAATCTTACTAAGCTGTACTTTTCGAAGATCCTACAATTCCATTACCTGGATAAGACTGATATACCGTGTCCTTCGGCATAGTGATACAGGTATATCACATCTAAATTGGGCATGTGTAAATTATAGGCTTTCACAGTTATGACATGTTCCTTGAGAAAGGAGAAGAGAAAATAAAAGAATGTGACTTTTATTGTAACGGTCCCAAGTTCAAATAACCACAGCTGCCATGTAAAAGGTGGTACCCAAACTGAAAAATTCACACGTTTTTATGGTACATGTTTATTATTGTAACAAATGACAAGTAATTCGTCATTTTTGTTCAGGGAGCGAAGGCAATTTATAATAGAGAACAGAGTCTGCGCCATGAGAATGCTCTGATTTAGTAGATGGTGCTACACCCTCCAAGTTGGGTAAATCTGATGCCTGCTTCAGTTTTGGTGTTGTATGCTGTTATTTTTAGTGCTTGATTTGACCCTGACCGACCGTAAGTGGGGGAAATGCTTGCAATTCTTACTGTACAGTTTGGCCCGATCACTTGATTTCTCATTAGCACTCCATGGCATGGGCATCAACCTTAAAGTTTGTTGTTTATAAAGTATTTACGCAAGGATCCTTCTTTTATTCTTTTGTTTTCATCTTCATTGTTCTGCTGTAAATGTGTCATCTGAGATGCCACGTGGGGCCGCAAGCATACTTTTTCCCATGCATTGGCCTCTGTTGTTTTAGTTCATGTTTTATACCATTCTACCGCGGCTGAGGGCCTTTAGGCTACAGTATGAAAGAGATACTTTTCGGTATTATATAGAAAGTTACTGCAAAATAAGGGGAAGATAAGACAGTAATGTGATGAGGTTATGTCAAAATAGGAGTATTTGGGTAGATCAACAATTTAACATCATAACCAACTGGTTTTTGGTCAAATAGTACTCTTTAACTTGTGAATATTTTGTTTTCTTGAGGTTCAGGGTTTAAATTTTCCTCTCCCCTCTCCCCCCCTCCCAAAAAAAAAAAAAAATTCAACATCATAATCTCTTGACAACAATATGTTGACTCCACGATTTTACCCCCCCTTTTGTAGGAGCGACTGCTGTGCATAAGGTCCAGTATTAGTCTGTTAAGTAAGTGAGGAAATACTGAAGTAATTCATTGGAACAACTGAGATATCAAAAATAATAATAATAATACATTAATACTAGTTATTGATTGTATTGTGATGAAGTGGTTTACAAGGATCCATGGATCCTCATCTGGTTGGCAATTGTATGGATGAAAGCGAAATCAGGAGCCTGGTTCGAAAATGTCTGAGAGACTGTCTAAAAACGAGTATGCACCATGATTGCATTCCAAGCTTAAATTTGTGAAGCCCAAAAGAGATTGTTTGGAGTATGGAGTTTTTGTTACTATGCGGAGTCTGAGTAGGATTAAATGATCCAAACTCATGATGTTCAGGTCTCACTGTTGTGGAACTTTGAATGTTAGTGTGGGGGTGAAGGGATGATATAATGAACTAGAGGAGATTTCTTAATACCACTTGGAAAAAGCAGCTCAAAGTGCTTCTCTTTGTACTCAACCACTATCCTTTCAATGGTATTTATTTGGTGTGTTGTCCTTGTCGTTATAGATAATTGAAAGCACTACTCATCCACAAAAGCTATTTTATGCCAATCTAATTTATCTACAAAAAAGCAAGCAAAACCCCACTCACCAAGCATTGTTTCCAAATCTCCCTCTTGAGCTTTCATGCAATCAAAATGACTGAATAAGCCTAGTCATCATCTTCTTCAACTTAAAACTGCACATCTAGGGTGTCCCATTGGACGAATCAAATCCAAGTTTAACTTACGCGTTTGGTTTGTAAGCGATTACATACACTGCGAATTTTCATTTCAACTACGACCACAAATGACAAGTGGTACCATTTTTGGGCCATCATGCAAAATAATGCATTAATTGGAGGAGAAAATATTTGGCGATGCCACGTTATTATTGACACATATCGTATTACTATTCAATAATAAAACACCATTTAAGATAAATTAATTCAATTATTTTTAATAAGAAAGTTATTGGATGTATAGTTATGGGTAGTTATTGAAACAGTGGGATCCTCGTGATATTTAATAATTGATTGGTAATACCACAAATATTTACTCCTAATGAGAGAAATTATCTTGACACGAATTGAATTAATGGCTATAATACTTTTATTTTTTGTTTAACAGTGGGGGGGATTCTATCCGGTTTGTGCGCCATAATCGAATAACTCTTTGGACTTGGTGCCCCAACATCAGAAAAGTGGTCTCCCCCACCTTTTCTGTTTGGAATTTAAAGCCAGAAAAGCACAGACATTGTATGGTTTGTAAGAACCTATCCATTTCCTTGTTGTCCATACAACTACGGTGTAGCAAAATTTAATCTCCAGTGCAATATAAAAAGGAAGCACCGTTTGTTCTATTCTCGATCTAGTGTGCAGAAAAAGGGTAAAGTTGCAGAACATGGGTGCCTTGCTTCTCAAGAAGACTTGTCTCCTCTTTCTCATCATCTCAGCTTCAATTCTATCAACTTCATTTGCAGGTGGGTCTGTTAGAATATCTAGGTCACACCATTGGTGCTCTCTATAGACTTTCATGGGGTCTTACTAAGGAGGAGAAGAGAACATGCTGAGATATGAATTCTGATGAATACCAAGTCATCTTATATTAAGTTGAAAGAATTGGTCGAGTTCGATGCGACTCGGCCCTCACTGTTCTGATATCCTCCTGCGTTCTATTTATGTAAATCATCCAGTTCTATTTTACTCTTGGTTGATTCAAGACCGTCTTGGTTGACAACAATTCCACAACGCACAATATAACTTGAATTCATCTTTATGAAATCTTCTTCTATCGACCATTTTAAGTGTTTTGTTTGATATTATTTTTGCGAAATGGCGACGGACGTGTATTAGTGGCCTTTGAGTCAATGGTCGATATTGTAACATTAAACCATGTGTCTATGAGCTTGGCTTTATCACCCCTTTGCACCAACTATTTGGAGCAGGCTACACAGAATCCTTCATTGATTTTCCATCTTTGTTTGAGTTAAAATGCTGAACAACACTCTTTAGGTTTCTGATAACTTTTAGGGTTAAAAATTCTCTTTATGTTTCTTAAAATATGTAAAGTTTCCCATGCATTTATGTGGTTAAGCCGATTATGCAGGTGGCAGACAATCCAGGTTTGTGAACAACTCAGAGAAGGAACTGGGTGCTACTCAGAAGGTTTGTCGTATCGATCATAACTTCAGAAAGTTTTACTTTAATTTTGCTTTCCTTTTCATTTTTTGTTGGTCGTTTTAATGCTTTATGTTAATCCAAAACAGAAATCACGAAGATTTAAAGCAATCACGAATAAATAAACGAATCGGATATGAGTGAACTCTTGTTTGACACGAACCCGTTAAGACTTGACACGAACTCATCTCTCCCTATACAATTGACAAGCTTAATTATAGTCGATGTTGCTCTCTTTCGCTTGGAAACATTCATATATTTTTCCTCCACGACTTATAATGTGTGTCATTGTTCATTAAGTTGTTTCGATTTGTCTAGATGTGATTAAGTCGGGTTTTTTTTTTTTTTGACAAGATATTATAATAGAAAGTCATGATTGATCGAGAGTAAAAATTCTCTCTTGAAAGCATTACGACCTAGCTAGCTGTGAAATAGAGTCAACTTTTGACTCTTGAGGTTTCTGTGATCTACTTTTGAGGTTCCTTCTTGGCAGGAAGAAGTTTACCATGACGAAGCATTGTATGAAATCCATGAAAGGTTTCTTAAGTTAACACCAAAGACTACGGAAGATATGATCCAGCACCAGCATTAGTCAAGCCTCCTTTTAAGCTCATTCCCAACTGATGTTATATTTGTCATCAGGGTCGGCAACCGACAAGACCTGTCGTTTTAAGCTTCAAATTGTCATCGACAACCGAAGAACCATTAGTACATATAAATATATTGTCATTGACAACAGAAGAACTATTACTACATATAAATATATTGTCAAGTTAATTTTGAGATGCTTTGAGGGTTGACAACGCCCTAGTACTGATGAAGAACGAGGTAAATGCGGGTTAAGTTTAAGTTAAACAGTCAGAGTAAATATTTAATGTAACAACTATTCTATATCAGTATTATCATGTGGTGTAATTGTCAAATAATAAACTTACAAAATATACAAGGTTAATACTTTTTATCAAAGGTTTGGCTATTGGGTGAATTATCATTAAACGGTTATATCACGCGATAATAATAACGTTGTACAACTGTTACAATGAATGCTTTCTCCGCTATTTGGACCATTATTTGATGCTACATTCTATTAAGAGTGTGTATGGGTCTGGATCGGGCTACCCGTCAACGGCCCATGCTCATCCATGGGCCAGATTTAGCTGCAAGAAAATGCAGTCCGTGATCCTATCTGTTAGGCTAATAGGTTACCCAGGGCCCTTCAAATGACTGGTTAGTTGGGCCCATGAACCAATGGACTGTCGGGCTTTTGGAACAGTGTGTGGGCCACAGGCTTTTTTGCAGAATCTTTTTAAATATAATTTATTAACATAATTCACTAAATTATTGAATTGACCTTAATGTTAATCCAACGGTTATAATAAAATCACGTCATTAAATTAATAAATTATATCAAATTTTTGAGTCTCAATTACATTCATCATACTTAAGCATTTAGGTCCCAAACTCTCTCTCTCTCTCTCAAAATCGCAGTATTTATTTGAAAAAAAAAACACAAAATTAATTTTTTATAATAAAATATTTGGTCACTAAGATATCTATCAACAATATATTTTTTTTTTATCGAACACAATTACAAGAGAAGAGGACAACGAGATTTGAACCCATGAATTTAAGGTTTAACAACAGAGACGATAATCATTAAACAAATCGTTATCCTCTTATCAACAAGTATCTTTGTTATTATATTTCTAGATTGATAAAATTTACATACTTTTTCACACAAAAGTGGATTTCCTCTAGAATTTCCTTGAGAAAAACTGAATAAACCCCACATGATTAAGATTGATAATTACTTACAATGATGATTTGCGTCTGTTGATAGTACACGCTACCATTTGATATGAACCAATATCATTTTTTAATGACTACATTTACGTTAATACCTTCGCTTTCCATCATACATCAACACCGACGTTCGGACCATTGTGAGGATATTTTCGTCCTTCAACAATATTTAATCCCCGTCCTACAATATCATCGTTAATAGATTCAATTACAAATGTCGTCGTACCAAATTATATTTATTAAGAGATGCCAATTACGTGCAAAACTCAATGCCCAAATTTCATATGCTCCACTATTGCCATTTAATCAAACCCCCTCACAAAAAATTCAAATCCAAACGTTGATGCAACGATATTTAGATTCACGAGTACTATATTCAGTTGAATCACTTACTATATATTCAAGTAAGATGTAAAAACGATTATCCTATTAGCATATAATAATTTTTTTTTGTTCAACGATTAAGGTTGTCCAAACCAGATTATCTGCACTTTGATTTACCTCCTTCTAAGTCTGGTCAAAGATAAATCATCCACGCCAAAATTAGGGAATTCATGTGGATAAATCTATCATGGTTTAACCTTAAGGAGTTGCTAAGATTCAGACTTAAAATGTCTGAATTTACAATTCATTCTTATTACTATTTGAGTTACCATCACAATTGGTAATCAATTTAGTTTTTACCGAGTTGTGTGGATTAATACTAGAGTGATTTTTGAAGCATACGAAATTTGGGATAAAAATTTTGTGCTTCGATTATTTTATTTTTTTTCTGAGGCAATTCGTTGTCACAATTTAGTCAGGTGAAATCCTATCAGAATAGGGCCACCATACATTCATGAGGGGAGATTAAAGCAAAGAACTTTGGGACAATTTGAAGAAAACTTGTAAATGTCTCCTGCATCCTTTGCTATTTTAGGCACATAAAAAGAAAGGAAATTTTTTTTCATACAGATATATAATCGGTAAAAGTCTTATTCTATTACTTCTAGCGGTCTAAGAGGTGTTATCTTACCTTTAGTTAAATCTTTCATTATTACCTACTGATTCAACAGCTACAGATGATTTCAAAAATTCACAATAATCAAATTAACTTAACTTATATATTGGTTTCACACTATATTTCCTAGTTTAATGGTCATCGTCCCTACTATTAGACCTTATAGTTATGGATTTAAACTTCGTTGTCTCTCTCTTTGTAATAGCGTCTCACCAAAAAAGAGAGAGTAAATAATTGTCTATTTTTATTTATATTTTAGGATTTAATCTTGTAAATTATCATAGGGTAACGACTTTCTCCCCCTTTTCATAGAAATATACTAAATTTTAAAGCTTGAATTGGTCTCTGAGCTTGAAAAAGTAACCGACGCATGTCCGGTGACACAAAAAAGAAAAAAAAAAAAAAAGAGGAATTCGTTGGACATTGGAGCAGAAGCTGAATTAAAGCCTCACTAAACCAAGGACGAGTTTCATTGAAGCAACTTGGGTGTGCCAACAGCTTTACCGCAAACAAATCATGAAGTCTGGCCATTAATTGACCTTTGTTTTTGTAACATTGTTTATTCTCCTTCAAATTACTAAATAAATTATATTTAATTAATCTTTTTAACTCATTTTGTGAATTAAACAAACTCGAACAATCTCCGACCCAATTCGAGCATGCTTGATTTGGTTTTAATAGATTCTTGCCTATAATTATTTTTGATTTTATAATTAAAAACCTCTATTTGATTAAGAACACGAGTTATTGATCCCAGAATTTAGTTTTTAAAGAAAAATTTGTTGGGGCATTGAGTTTATTTTGAGTTAGATTCACGTAAATTTATGTAAAGTCAAGTTTGAGAAAAAATTTAAGTTCAACAATTGAACTTGATCAATTACAGTTGAATCGAGCTTGAACAAACTCAATCTCGACAAACCCAACTCAATTAACACATCTAAATTAATCTCGATTAATCACAATTAAATCGAGATTGAGCAAACTCAACCTAACAAGCCTAGTTCAATTAATACATTTAAATTGTACTCGATCAATCACAATTGAATTGTGCTTGAACAAACTTAAATTCGATAAATCAAACTGGATTAACACATCTATCTTTGAGTGGCATCGCATTTTCTTTTCATTTTTGCGCGAAGTGCAACTTTTTTCTTGCTTATTTACATCCAAGAACTTGAAATTAATAAGGTAATGAAAGCTAAAGGGAATCTGGTAATTTTCATAATCCATCGTACATTAAGAAATTTCAGGAATCTTTCTCACATTTAACTTTCTTGATAATTGGGTGTGACGTGAAAACAGAGGCATGCGTACTGCGCACTCCGCTTACCACATAAGATACCAGTGAAAAGTTATTCCTTTTCAGTTTTTACTGCCTTATTCTGACAATTTTCAAATTAAAGAACAAAGTTTTAAAAAAAAAAAATCAGTTTCCATTGAGGTACCAATTTTTTTTTATTTTTTTGGTATCATAAATTAATTTTTTATCAATAAAAATACATCTTGTCTATAATTATTTTATTATATATATTTTTTATTAATTTATTATTTTTTTATAAATAATTATAATTATTCAATTTATAATTGATAACTAAGATTAATGCTCACGGCACAACTTTTTTTTATTTTTTATCGGGCACTATTATTAGAATAGGAATAACGAAATTCAAGCTCGTGTATTCATACCCAAAAAACTAAGATACAAAACATTCGACATAAAACATTATTTTTATGAGTAAGAAGTTTTAAATTTGATATTTTATATATCTTTTAAGGGTCAATTACTCCTATTTTTTAGAAAATATATTTTTAAATTAACTCTATGATAATCAATATCAAAAGTCGAGCTAATAATCGGAGTAATCTTGAACGCCGCGTTAAAAAAGAAAGAGGTTATTTTTTTCACGGTTCGGAAACTAACCGATTGAAAAAGGTTATTTTAAGTAGCCACATGCTTACGACACGTGTCGCTTAACTCCGTTATAACTAGCGGTTCCTTACCGTAAGTTAGACCGTCTAAAACGACCTCACTCCTTCCTATTCTCTCTCTCTCGCAGCTCACAAGAAGAATCGGACAGCAATTCTCCCTACCCCCGCTTCTCCCTCTTTCTTGGCGGCCTCGAGATAGAAAGGTACGGTTCGATCATGTCAGTTTCGTTTGTTCTATACGACGCTTCATGTGTTTGATGACGATCAACATATAAACATGTATGGAAATGATGTGTATATTTAGTTTTTGATAAATTATAGATGAATAGGGGAATTATGTGGATTATGAGAGATAATTTGTGTTTTTTTGACTTTAATTACTGTTTTTCGGCACTAATTTCGGATCTCTCTAACCTATTTAGTGTTTGATTATCCTTAGTTTTAGGTTTCTTGTGGCATAGACTCACTCTCAGTCTCTCCTGCAAAGTAGCAGGTGAAATCGATTCAAAGGTTCTCTGCTCTAACCCCCAATATGTGCCCATTTTTTTTAGTAATTTTTTGTTTTGTATTTTTTTGTGCTTCAATAGGAATATAATGATTTGTTTAAGTTTGTGAGATAGTGAACCGTTCTATCAGATCGGTTGAATAGGGCTTTTATTGAAGAGTAGTGTTTGATTACTCATCACTGTTCCTGACTACAAATTTTGTCTTATACTTTGATAATTATTTACTGATTACTTGGTTTAGGTAGAGCTTTGAAGCCCTAAAATCCATTTGGATTGGAACTGTGATTTGGTGGTCAACAGAAGTGAATTTTCTTATGCATTCGATGGTACAGTGATGTTACTGTGACTAATCATTGTGTTGTGTTTTGACATATGATTTCTTACTTCTATGGAAATGATTTTCTGGATACCATTATTTATTGTCGTTGAATTCTCATCAGTTGCGGACTATAATTTGGTGTAGACCGTAGACATAGTGCTAGTTCTAAGTGATGAATTTCTTTTCCCTTTGGTTGTTTATCAGAAGCAATGATTATTATTCCTCTTCTTTACTTTCATTTTAATTTGAAGTAAACATAGGTGATTTCTATCATCAAAATTTCACCATTACTGATCTTTATCCTCTGATATTAAAGCTTCACATTCTACAGTGAGATGTTTGAGGGTTAATGATTAATCTGCTGGTTTTGTTCACCTTAGTGATAATCAGTGTATGGATCATTTTTGCTCATCTGTACCCATATTGATATCTGTGATATTCGTATATTATGATTTTCATCTGGAGGAATGACTTCATTTTTTATGTTCCACAGAGGAATGACTTGGTTTGAACTTGTTTTCTTGGAGTAATCATGCAGGTATTGTGGGTCTGACCGACAGTTGCTATTAAGGTTTTTAGTTGCTTGATGTTGTGCTTGTGAGGAAGCATGGGGTCCGCTTGTTGTGTTGCTGCTAGAGATAGATGTGTTGTTCCTAGAGATAGAACCATAACAAATGGATCAAGCAGTGATATTGTGCAGAGGAATATTAGATATTCGCCATCATGGAGCTTTCGCTGGGATAACCGAGGACGAGTAGCAGGGGAAGAGACATCTGTAACTTGGTTTTCTGATGGAGTCAGCAGGAATGATGGACTGGACTTCAAATCTGGAACAATGGTGGAAACCACGCATGCATCAGAGGACGGAAGTTCATTGGATAGTTTCCAGACACTTGCATGGCAAAAGTCCCCAGTTTCTGAAGGAAATAATGGGGTTTCGAGCATTCCTCCCTCAGGTAAATCTCTAGTTTCATTTTCGCACAATGCACTTCCTGCTTTTTGCTTTTCCGTCCACGGGAACATTTCATTTTTTGTTTTCAGTTCATTTTGTGCAATACATCATTATCCTTTGTAGCTCTGAGATCTATGCCACATTGATTTGCCAGATAAGTTTTGAATATGATTTTGAAAAATTGTTTTAAAGGAGCCCGAATTTGCACTATTCTGTCGAAGGCATAATAATGTAGCATGTTGCAGTTCCAAATGATGAGTTTGAAGAGTGTGAACGTCAACAGAGAAGTGTGAAATGGAATAAAAGAAGAGCCTTTGTGTGGTGATATTGCCTTAGTTATGATCACCTACTAAATTCTTCTAATTAGGGTGGCACTACTATGTTTTGCAATTCTATTTGTAGTGTCATCTGTCATTTTGAAATCATGTCAACTTCTGAATTTGCATTAACTTACTATGGCCAAATCCTTAAGTTGTGGCTGGTCCTTGAAAGATTTAAAATGTTTATACTATTAGGAATACTGCTCTTGTTGAAAGCTTCAAAAGTGCAAGAGATGGCTGAGAAACTAGAAAAAAATCGTTTGTTCACTAACAATATGGCTATTGTGGGGGTGGAAATTGCAAAATCATAACTAAAATTTGTGGTATGAATTACAATTAGCAGCTGGCAAATGTCACAATTATGGGCCCTTTTCACTCATTTTAGTTAATGTTCAGCTTGTTAAGGTTCCTCCGAGATCCATTTTGTTTGTTTCTTTTGATAGTTTTTGCAATTTATAGTCGTCTGAATATCTGTATCACTAGTAGTAGTTAGTTTACGGCTTTTCAATATTGTCACTTTGTGGAAGTTGATTTAGGATACTTGGTTGGAACTTGAAACGAATGAATTAGGTGTGTTAATGCCCTGTGCAGTCACAACAATGGAACTAAAAAGATGGAATGCTGACTCCACCCCTAATTTGGGAACCTCTCTCTCCCAACAATTTTGTGCCAACTTAAAACGCTGCAAATGCTGGAATGGATCCTTTTTTGTTTGTCCAAAACTAGCTTTAGGGTATTCTTATGCTCAGGAAAGTGTTATGAGCAGCACTTAAAATGGTATTTTGGAAGACAATGAAATAATAAGTTTGAAGAGCCCTCTGTACATGGGCATGCGTGCATATCTATCTATACTACTAATCTATATCGAAAGCTAATGAGAATTTTTTTATTATTTCTATTCTACCCATTCTTAATCATATAAAGACAATCATATCCTATTTTTCACTTTAACTCTTAGACTCTTCCCTTTCTAGGAGTAAATATTTGTAATTACAAGTGCAATAAATATATAGGATTACCTATAGTGAAGATCTTTCATAGTCATAACATTATTATTAGAGAACTACTAATAAAAGAAAGCTAATGAGAAAAACTTTTAATTTTCTATTCTATCCCTACTTAATCATATAAAGACAATCATATCCTATTTTTTACTTTTATCTCTTAGACCCTTTCCCTTTCTAAGAGTAAATATTTGCAATTACAAGTGTAATGAATATATATTATTACCTGTAGGAAAACCTTTCGTATTCATAATATTAGAGAAAATTACAAAACAATATAAGAATAATAGCTCTCTTTCTAAACCATCACTTTCCAAACAATAGAGGAATCTCCTCTCTTTAAATAAATAATAAAGGCTACAATTATTTTGATTATTCTCTTTAGCCTTCATAGTTCTCTCCATTTATGTCTTTAGTTTTTATTTTCCTTTGCAAGTTATCATGGATCTTATGAAAGTAGCACTTGTAAACGATATTGAAAATGATGAACTCAAAGTGTAAGAATTCTTGACTATTTATGCGATTTTTTTTTTAGGTATCAGCGCTTAGCTTCATTTGATATTATCTTACTGTCAACTGCTGTTTTTGATGATCTAATATGAGTGTAATCTAGGTCTTTAAGAGAATGTGATGTGCCTTGTCTGTTTATATTTGATCTATTTTTTTATATTTATGTTCTTTTTTGTTTTTATTTAGAAATTTGAATTATCATGGTCTTGGTGTTTGAGATTTGGCTGTGGAAATTTTACTGGTTAATTAAATTTTTATTCACTTATATTTAGTTTTCTATTTTTTTTTTGGTCTTCAATTGTCAAATATGTACTATAAGATTGTAATTTTTTCAATCCAAATGTAATTTGGAGTGAGAAACTCTATATTCTTGATGGGAATTTTGGTTAGTGTTACCCACAGCCACGACAGATGCAAAATATGTGAAATATAAATATCATAAACAACCAATAATTAATCAAATCAACGACATGATATGTTCTTTTTTACATTCTGCCTCTTTTATTTTCTAACTTCACACTTATTTTATGTATAGTTAAACCACATAATATGGATAAAAAGTAGAAAATAAAAACTAAAATTATAATTTGAAAAGGTCCACATACAACTTACATGGGGCACCAACTAGTTTTATGTGTCTTGTGTGTGATTGTGTCTTTTTGTGTACCTACTCATTTTCATTTTCGAGAAACAAAGAGTGAAGGTTGGTTTTGTCTACTCGACATCTTCTATTCTTTCCAGGTTCACTAACCTTGATAGTGTGCATAGAAATTTGTAGGTTTCGAGCTTTTTGACGGAACTTTTAAACCTCTTTGAGTTATTGTGAATGTTTGTTGATTGTATTGAACCGGATCCACCTGGCCTAGAAAGGTTAAACTCATGTATGAACTTACTAAGGTTTACTTAGAATTCAACCAGCACCTGGTTTGCAATACATGTTGCAGCTGTTATTATTTTTATTTTAGCCATTCTTTCATGAGATGATAGCTATTACTGATTCTGACATGGAATCTGTGCCTTATTTATCAAAAGAAGCAATAATTAAATGTCTGAATATTGTTGGCAGACATGTTGGGGCCAGTGAACTATTTTGAGATTTTGATCATATTATTTGCTGCTCATCTTGTATCCATGTAATCAACAGTTGATTATATCCCTTTTGTTGATTGTACTGCAAGTTGTATTCATTTATTTGTTTTTGAATCTATGCTGTGTTTTGAAAGAAATAAATGTTTACAATCCAGACAAATGCCACATATATCCAATGGTGTTTCCTGTCATTTTAGTTTGGGATTATCATGATTCATCTGGGGACATATGAGCTTTCCCTTGTTTGCTGACTTGAGACATGTGAGAAAGAAGTAGTAAATCATCTTTTCTACCATTTTATTCTCTGTGTACATTTGTGAAAGGTGAAGCCTCATTAGTCTTGGTTTCCCTTAAAAAAAAAAAATTATTCTTGGTTAGGGCTTCAAATCTTGACTAAGCTAGAACTTTTGGCCTTTTGTACCCCAAGTTCATTGGCATTTGAGATGCAGTGCATGAATGGTTAACTATGTTGTGCTGTATATGACATCTCATTCTTTTTCGTTTGCAGATCTATCAATTTCTAGGAATTCTCCAGAGGTAAGTGCAGAATAATTGGAGTTTCCTGTGGTGCAAATGCCTTATGTTGTGCTATTTAATTTGTTGTTTCGGTTCAGTTTCATTACTAGTACATGTTTTCCCTCTGTTAATTCAGGTGAAGGAGCCAATAGGGTATTCAGCAGTTTCAGATACATCTCCCACAAAGCTATCACCTTCAGTGCATTCAGTTTCATCTTTGTCTACATCTCCTTTGTCATCTCAAGGTCACCTGGTACCTACAACCTCTACTCCACCAAGGTGGTCCCGCCGTTCCCCAGGAAATCGGCTATTGCGGCAAGTATCAGATAGCCGGATTCCAGGATTGAAGTCACCAAATTTCTCAATTTCTGAGGAGCCATCTTCCTTTGTGCTGCCTGAGTGGAGCAATGAATTAACAAGGGGCTCCAATGGTGGGTCTTCAGATAGTTGGTCTATCCCTCCCTTTCCTGAGCTCATGGCAACTTCTCATAGAGAGAGATGGTCTTTTGATAGTGAGTCCTTAGGCTTCAATCGTGACAAGATATCCAGATCTAGTGGCCGAATTTCTGCTTCTTCCTCTTTTGATATCCAAAACTGTGGGGTTTGCTCAAAGCTTTTAATTGAGAAATCTTCTTGGGGCAGCCAGAAAATTATAGCCACTAATGAGCTTGCTGTGGTGGCTGTTTTAATTTGTGGCCATGTTTACCATGCTGAGTGCCTGGAGAATATGACGCCTGAAATCAACAAGTATGACCCCACCTGCCCGGTTTGTACTTTGGGGGAGAAACAAACCCTGAAGCTGTCCGAGAAAGCATTGAAAGCTGAAATGGACTTGAAGGCTAGAAACAAGAAATCAAGGAACCGGGTTGTGGATAGTGATCTAAGTAGTGATCTTGTTGTGTTTGATCGCCAGAAAAGTAGCGGTCCTAGGATGAGCTTAAGTTCCAGTATGAAGAGCTCCTTGGGGAAGCCTTTCTTGAGGCGGCACTTTTCATTTGGGTCAAAGGGGGATAGATCCTCATCAGAGAATCTTTCTGTTCGAAAGAGGGGGTTTTTCTGGGCAAAATCTAGCAAGAACTGAGCTGCTTCTGGATCTGAAGAGGTTAACATCCCTTGCTCTCATATATGCTCTTCTCTGACTGAGACTAACGGAGAACTTCCTTTTTGCACCTTACTAACGACCAATTTTATATCTGTAGCCTTTTGAACTTCAGTCTAGGCGAATACTTTGAACATCTGGAGTGTAGACTTTGCATTGCAATACCCCCTAAATTTCTCTGCTTTAAGCTCTTGAGAAATTCTATCATTTGGTTCACAAGTCATATTTTATGTTACTCGTGCAGGATTTGGTATTCTTACATCTGCTGATTCCACGATTGATCTTCCCTTGCAATCTCAGTTACTGAACCATGAAAGGCGCAGGAGATCAGTCATCTGGATCTTTAACTGGATTTGTGGGCAGGAATAGGTTAGCTTCTGAAGGTACACTGTAAAGAAGGGCTAAACAATACATAAAGGAAAGATCAATTTGTTACATATGAAAGGAACCATCGTAGAATGGAAGTGAATCAAGGATAACAAGTCATCTCCTATTTCGTAAACTTGAATTTGATTGTTTCATTTAAGTGCATGAAATTACCCTGTCAAATTCTCGAATGGCTAAGATGCTTTAGTTTATTAGTGGGTGATATCATGCCCACTCATTTTACACGGCTTTGGTATTGTTGGGTTTTGTTTTAAAACCAGTTATCTGGATTTGTCTCAAGGAGAAGTGTGGCAAATGGCAATAGGTTTGCTTGAGTTACTTTTTCCCCTTTTCTTCAGTGAGGCTGTTCAACAGGTTAGCAAATGGATGAAGTTTTATGCATATCAGAAGCATAACTGAGGTTCGGATCAGGTTACATTCACTTGAATGGCTTTGTGCGTGTACGCAGATTGTTTGTTACCAGACCTTTGCCAATATGAATAAGACTATATTGTATGTGCTTGCTTTTGCTGTGTGTTTCGCTGATTTGTTGTTCATGGCTTTAGAATACTGTGTGTTTTTGCATGATTGTATCTTTCAATACAGGAAATAGAGCTGAGTGGGACTTTAAGCTAAAGAAAGAGCTTGATTGCTTGGTGTAAAACGGCACTCGGGCCTTGGTGGAAGAGTGATGTCTACTCTGACTCTCTTCCCTGTGATGTAGGATGTCATGGATCTTGTGGGATTTGCGTTAAGTTCCACTATGTTCACAATTAAGGCAACTGGAAAAAAGAATTTGCACCAAAAGCTGGGTGTGATTCTTAAAGGCATTCATCCCTTTTTAAGTGATTGGTGCGGGACTATGTTTGCATGTTGGTATTCCTTTATTCCTTTTTAATTAACATCATGTGTTTTTTTTTCAAATTGGGGTAGAAGATCTACCGAGGTGGGTAGTCTTAACCGGATGTGTTTGGTAACAGGTAAACCGTAAGGCTGTTCCCGTCCCAACAATTGATGTCAATTCTCTCTCCTTTCTACGAACACTAACATCATCGTGGTAGTTGGATATTATGATCCGATTTAATTGGATTATTAGTTGGTTATAGTCTTAGATGAGGTCTACCACTAATTTAACAAAAATAATCAATTAGGTTGGCAAGTTAGTTTAAATGATTAGGTTCAACTAGTAATATTGAATTAATAATCAGTATTATCCTCTTAAATAGTAGTTATTCTCAGATTCAACCTCACAGTCTCATAATTGTTCAATGAGACGCTTACCATTGTATTTTTTGAACGCTATAGCTATCCCTATAAAATTTATCAAAAGCACTAATACTAAACTAATGAAGAGTTACATCTAAAACAAAGAAGCTGAATAATCCATGCAAGTTTTTCATTTTTAATTGTTTGAGATGAGATAGGGAAGGAATATAATCAAATTCAACATATAGAATCACCTAATAGCTTAGAAGGCAAACGTTAAACTTCAAAAGTAACACTACTGTGCATTAGTCTACCCATCAAATTGTATGATGAAATCTACTATTGACATTAGACTAGTAGTGTATACAGATTCATTATCAATCAAATAATAATAAATTTGGTCATTAAATTTGATCTAAGGAACAGATTTAGAACCCATATAACTTTAGGAGTAATATTTTATTAATGCAATATTCTCCTTTAACTCATTAAAAAAATTGAACAATAAAATTTTTTGCTAAAATTGTAAAATTAACAACTCTATTAGATACCAGAATTACTAACGTTTACACTAATTTTCAAGTTGACAAGATCAATAGAGTGGCCATAGTTGGAGATAAGATTGCACGTGTTCAATTTAATTTATTAAAATGATTTTTTATTATCATTGAATTAGTTATTAATTTTAATATTTAATAAAATGTATTAATTTAAAAATAATAATAAATTAAGTGAATAAATTAGAAAAACAATTTAGGATGACTTTATTGCACGCAAAACACCTTAACAACTCGAGACAATTATCACAATAACGTAGGTACGATTTATTTATTTTTTATTTTTTGGGTACCCGTAGACTTCTCCGAAAACAAATTAAATGACACACTATTCCATTTCGTCAGCGACTATTGAACGGTGCATAACACGTCGACTTCCAACCCCTCGCTGCAAACACGTCTCTCTCTCTCTCTCTCTTGCACACACACACAGCACTTGAGTTCTCATTCGCCTGTGATTCTCGTCCTTTTTAGCGCCCCGCCTCTATAAAAACCTCGTCACTGCAACTTCAATTCCAAATGCTTTCTCAAACTCGTTTTCTCTCTCTAAATTACCTCAATCCCACACGCCTTTGGCTTTCTCCAAACCCTTCGTTCTCTCGAACAAACAACTTGAATCTCCCAATCTCTCAAATCAATAATCGAACATTTACATTCACTTCGACGATGACTTCGAACTGCACACTCTCAAATCATATCGGAACCGTTAACTTAGGGTTAAATGATTCCGAACTCGAAAGGTTCGCCGAAGTCGGTAACGAACTCGCCGACGCCGCTGGTGAAGTGATTCGCAAGTATTTCCGGAAAAGCTTCGACATTGTTGACAAAGAAGATTTGAGTGAGTTTTCCTAAAAAGTCTGTTTGTTACTTCAATTTTCGAATTTGCACAATCTGAAAATTTGTGATGATTTGGCTTCAGGTCCAGTGACGATTGCTGATCAAGCAGCAGAGGAATCTATGGTTTCGATTATACAAAAAAGTTTTCCTTCTCATGCAATGTAAGTGATGTGTTGCTGAGGAGTGATTCCGTATATTTTTTCTGAAATGGTGGACATTTTTTAGCATTACACTTTCCTTTATGTTTTTCGCCTTTTGCAGAATGTGAAATTAAAACTGGAAAACACATTCTAATTAGCTTAATTTATTTAATATCTTACTTAGTTTTTTGAGTACATTAGCGTTTATTGGAACGGTCTGTACTTGTACGTTTGTTGCTGAACTTACAGAAGAATATTGATTTCAGCTACGGAGAGGAAAATGGTTGGAGGTGTGAAGAGAAGTTTGCAGAATATGTTTGGGTATTAGATCCAATAGATGGGACAAAGAGCTTTATTACTGGTATTTTGCCTATATTTTTCTTATTGAACTATTGTTTTCCTTCTACAATTACTCGTAGCATTGTTAACATCTTCTTTGGACTTGAAAAAATTGCTTAACTAATCCTATCCTTGAATTATATGGGGCAGGGAAGCCCTTGTTTGGCACTCTCATAGCTCTGTTGCACAAAGGCAAGCTGGTATGAACTATGAGGCGTGAGCCACTTTGATTGTGTTTGAATTGTGATGAATTGTTTTGTTGTCGCCGCTTAAGGAAAACCTTATCATTTTATTATCACCTGTAGTTATGCGAAGTGAAAATAAAACATGTAACTAACGACCTGTTTTACTATCACGTGTCTTATTTACTCTGCATGTTTTTTGTACCTTTAAATTGTATTGATTTTCTGCTGTTGTGATTTTCAGATTCTTGGCATAATTGATCAACCTGTTTTAAGAGAAAGATGGATTGGGATAAGTGGGAGGAGAACTACGTTGAATGGACAAGAAGTTGCCACACGCAATTGTGCAAAACTTTCGCAGGCCTATCTGTATGTTTTTCTTTTTCTATAATCTTCTTCTTGGGGAGAAATTAATAAAAAAATGAATGTATTGAATAAATGGCAGATGTTTTCCTTATTGCAAGCATTTACACCTTTGTACAGAGCCATTCATGTTTTGTGTTTGATAACTTACATACGAATTCCGTGAATTGGAGATCTCCGTATTCTGTTTCATTTTTCTTGTATGTTTTCCCTTTTACTGATTAGGTATACCACTAGTCCACATCTGTTCAGTGGAGAGGCTGAAGTAGCATTTGCTCGAGTTAGAAGTAAGGTTTGTTCCTCATATCCCTGATTTACAATTTGTGAAAGAGATTCTTGATATGGTTATGTATCAATTGATGATAAAAGAGTTATTGACTTGATATATGATTAAATATATTTACAGTGCTAAAGAAATATATGAATGTAGTGTTTCAAGAAAGTGTTCTTTTGGCTTTCTATTTGGGAATTACATGCTTCCATTATGTCGTGGAAACAAGGATCAAAATTTTATTTAGATACATTATTTCGGAAACGTCTCGAAAACAGAATGAAAACAAATGAAAATTTGAAAATTTATTTTAAAAAAATACCAAACCATTGGTAGAAATATATTAAAATACCTTGAAACAGTCTAAAATGAGATAGAAACATGCCGAAATATCTCGAAACATTCGGAAACACTTTGAATCATCGGAATTTCGATTCAATTATTGATTCGTTTAAGTCTCCTTTGGAATGGAAGAGGAAATGTTTTGGCTGTTTTGATCATTTCGAAATGAAATTTCAATCTTTACCTAGAAATGCTTGCTTTTAGTACACACTTGAATCATATCTTTGAGATTTAGGAGTGTTTTGGGGATCGTAAGGATGGTCTGCACAGTTTCAGTTGGAGCTGCTTGCACATGTTGAAAGTTTTTAAGTTTTCTTTATTCTCCTTTAATTAATTCCAAAGTCCAAATGTAAGACCTTTCTTTGCTTTATGAAGTGATTTGAAGCTTGGTTTTGTATCAGGGACGTTTTGTCTGATTTCTATACAAATTCACTTTCTAAAGGAAATTAGAATGTCTGAAGACTAGATAGGAAAAGTAACATGTGGATATCAGCTTTTGAGGAATTTTCTACATTTAGGGATAAAAGATGTGCTAATTGAATGTTTTAGGTTCAGATGGAAATTGTAGACTATAAGGGGAAAGGTTATAGTTTTTATTTTTCAATAGTATGACTATCTGCTAATTATTTTAAGTTTTTAGGTTCATTTACTCATCTGCTAATTTTTTTTTTTAGGCATATAATAATGTTTCAGCTTGTACTTAGTAGATCTACTGTTGCTTTAGCTGTACTAGGGTTCTTGGTGGATGGTATTGAGACCTTACATGATAATAGGGACTGTTGCACTGCTCCTTGCTGGTTCTGCTTCCCTTTTAATGCGGAATTTAAAATATTAGATTCTTTTGGATATTCAGCTTTTGTCTTGTGTATTTTTATGGTTTGCAGGTAAAAGTGCCACTATATGGCTGTGACTGTTATGCCTATGCCCTTTTGGCATCTGGTTATGTGGATCTTGTAATTGAGTCTGGTCTTAAGGTGAGCTGTATTCCTTTCATCTAAGTTTCAGTTCTAAGGGTTGTGATGCATCTTTGGCCATGTTTTGGTGTGGCAGGATGAGGAGCTACTATTTCCACTTGAAATAGGAATTACCACATGACACAAACTGCACCGGTTTTAGCAAATAGTGTCGTAGTTTGTTTTTCAGTTAAAATTCAGAAAAGATTAAGTAAATGACCTGAAGGAATTCACATCACTATTGCAAACAGATATGTATGGAAGGCTGGAAGTCATAAAATTAGTACGACAAATAAAAGAAAATTCTCACTGGGGAGCTTGGTTTGTCCTTGATTGGCCCTTCTGTGATGCTCAGCCAGAAGGAAAATGTAAAAGGCGAAAGAGATTCGGCTCTTACTCCGTGGACGAGATTGTTTCGTACACATGTGAAGCACTTTGATTCTATTGTATTATTTCTCCTTGCTTTACATTTATGAGACGGAAACTGGTTTTGCAGCCATACGATTTCCTTTCACTGATACCCGTCATAGAAGGTGCTGGTGGAGTTATAACTGATTGGAAAGGACAACAACTCACATGGGAGGCTTCCTCAATTTCACATGCATCAAGTAAGATATTGTGCTTTTTACCGGAAAACTGCTGACTTCATATTTCATCTGCCTTCTTATTATCTCACATAACCTGTCTGATCCAAAAGTAAAAGTAGGGCTGATAATTGAGCCGAGTTATTCGAACTAGACTTGAGTTTGGCTCATTTTAGGCTTGACTTGTTTTTTAAATGAGCATGTCGTCTAAAAAAATTAGCCGAGCTTGAATAATTTTTTAAGCTTGTTTAGAAAAACAAGCTCGACAAATTCTGCTTGTACTCACAAAACTCTACTCGATTATCAGTCCTATTTAAAAGTCAATTGCTAAAACAAAGTCCATCAAGCTTATTCTTATGCTAAAACAAAGTCCATCAAGCTTATTCTTATGGTGGAGCCATTTAATGTCAATTAAGACTCACGAATTTCAGGGTGGCAATTCTAACCCATAACTTGTCAACTTGTGCAACCTGCTTATAAATTAATTGGTTGGATGCATGTTTTTATTAATACGGGTTAAAAAATGGTTAATGCAATGGTGTATTTTGTTCAACACATAATTATTAGATATAAGTTTGGCTTTAACAAGCTTTGAAGTTATAATTGGTTTGACCGGTTATATCCATTTAATAAATGAATTAACATGAATTTGACTATATAAGATAGATACACAACTGTGTACGACTATAAATGCAAGTTAAGAAAATTTTGACACAACACGATAGAACCCGGTATTGAACCTCACATGATACTAATCATTGCCAGCCTTAGTTTTAAACGTCGTCATAATGTTTTGGGTAAGATGATTGACAAGGTGATTTGAATACAATCCAACTTAAAATATTTAGTTTTATTTAGAAGGGTGTTCAAATTTGTGGTTTTGGTTTGAAAATAATCACTATGTTTTCAATTGCGTTCTGCCTTTATTTAGATTAGAAAGTAGAAACCTAATATCCATTTTTCCTCCCCCAAAGTTTTTAGTTGATTGTTGTGACTTCTTTTTCTTTTTATTTTTGTTGATTATTTAAATTCAGTTATTTCCATAATACTATTTAACATTCTCCACATCATATTCATTGATCTTGCCTTAATTTTAATAATACCCCAGTGTGAATTATAAAAATGAGATTAGAATGAGTTGATAATTTTATTTGACATGGTGTGTGTGTGCATGTGTAATAGTGTGTATTTTGATGTACTCGTGTGTAACAATAGTGTGTGTGTTTTAGTGTATTAGTGTATGTATTTCGATAGATAATGTCTATTAAGAGTTCTGGTTAATGGATTTAACCTAATTCGTTATAACTTAACCCATCATAACTCATTTAATGTGTGAGTTGAAAATGGATTGAATTTAAAGTTAATTGCACTAGAGGTTCCTAAAGTATGAGAATTGTTTTATTTTTGTTCTTAATATTTTAATTGTATCATTTTGGTCCCTAAAATATTTAATATATTTTATATAGTCCCTCAAGTAAATGGCATCTAAATTGCTAATGTTTTTTATCATAAATTTGTCATGTAATATCTAAATATGAACAAAAATAATTTGAATAACTCTTAACCAATATTTGGGTAGTTCTTAACAAAAAAAGTGTAATATGAGTATCTTTTGACCAAAATTTAGATAGTTCTTGTTAAAAAATGTGTAACTTGGGTACTTTTTGACTAAAATTTGGTCGTCGAGAATTATATAAATTATTTTTTTGTGTATAGTTAACTATCACGTGACAAGTTTATGATAAAAAATCGTTAGCAATTTGCACGTTGTCTACTTAAAAGATCATATAAAAATATATTCAATATTGGACTATTCCTTCTTCCTAAAATAAGATACTAACAGTGCCCGACTCATAAGGAGGCCAACTTGGAGCAAGTTAATAAGTTATTACACTTCTTAATGATCATGACTCTAAGTTAGGCACCCGCTTGATCCAGTTTAAGAATCAAGCCTCACAAATGGTTCTGCTGGACAGGATTGAACCTCCCTAAATAGAACAAGATTCCCACTTCCAAATTTGGATACATATCTTTGTCTTTTCTTTCTACGGATTTCTTTCTCCCTTCCATTAATTGCTTACGAACCAGGAGGCTGCTTTTGAATCCAAAATAAGACAAATATCATATTTTGGAGACTTCCATTGCAATTAATCCTTGAATTTATTTTAAATTCAATCCAATTTAACGCAATTCAACTTAACAAATAAGAATCAACTAAATCCATCCGTTTGTCACCTCTACTCACGATTATTATTATTATTCCACCAGGTTTTAATGTTGTGGCGGCCGGTGACAAACAGCTCCACCTTCAAGCTCTAGATGCATTACAGTGGCAGTAATATCATTATCAGCATCGGACTCCGTTCGGTGAAGCTGGTGCAATGCTGCAACAGCCCTTATGTTGGGCCTCAGATCTTTATATAGATGGCCTATCCAGATTAGATAGATGGACCCACTGAACACAAATCTAATAATTTACCTAGAACTTGATTTTGTATTATCTATAAGATATTTAAAAGGAGCAAATATCTGGCACTTTTTATTGAGTTCTTTAATGCAGTTATGTGCAAGTGTAAACTCCCTCGTTTATTTATTCTTGCTAGTATGTTTACATACCTGAATATCTGATTTGATGGCAACAAGTCTCATGAATTCTCTTCTAAACAAAGTTAAAAAAAAAATAGAGGAAGCAAGTAAATTTGATACCAAATTGCTTGAACAAAGTAAATGCTCGTACATGTTATGCCATTCAACATTAAGGATAAAATTCACACAACCCATTTAAGCCTCTTGTTATGCCTCACTTCACGAACGAAACAAAGCTGCTGCCAGCCACTTAAACCTAAAGAACAGAAACAGTTTTTAAGTTCTATCCCGAAGTAAGCCTTTTTCACAGTTATCCAGTGAGAACAAATTTAAGAATTCGATCCAAATTTAAAAATAAATGTGGCGAGAGTGTTATACGCTGGCACATTTACCGGTTCTGAGTTGCACCGACAGTTGCCTCATGCCAGAACAAACAAGATCTTAATCCTTCCCAAAATCAGCATTGTAGTGGGCAGTGGATTCAAGTTTTTTCGCTTCATTTAGCTTCCGAACAGCCTGGAACATTGGCAAATAGGAAAAAAATTTTAAGAGAAAAACTGCACATATCAGAAAATGCATAAGCTATCAAGATAAAGACATGCATGCAGAGACAGAGAGGAGAATGGAGGTTTTGGGGGTGTCTCTTTTTTTTGGGGGGGAGGTCCAGAAGATGTGGCAACCAAAGATTAATACACACATAATCACGGGTAGGCATAAACCATCATGAGGTACAAGCAAGAAAGAGAAAAGCATCTGCATCCAAAGTTCCTAACCACCTCACACGCAACTAGAAATGACCAGAAATCTCCCTAAATGGATCATCATATTGACAAGTTTGACTTATCCACTTTTGATCGATTCTTATATTACTATTCCATTTCAGTTATTAATAAATTTGTTGTTTCTTATTGAAAAAAGTTTGACCTTGTAGTGGCCATAAAAGTATATATTACCATGTTGATAAAGTGCTGGACATGACAACTATGTAAATGAGGCATCACTGTCCATGGCAGCTACCATCCATTGACCAATAAATAAACAAATCCCAAATGCATTTTCAAGAATCCAGAGAACTCTACCTTCATGAAATCTTCATGGATGACATAGTCACGTTCGGCACGGATTGCTGACATACCAGCTTCAGTGCACACGTTACGAAGATCAGCCCCATTAAATCCCTGAATAAATGCCAATTATAGTAAGTTACATCGAAGATTACCATGAAAAAATCCTAAAGGATACTTTCAGCATCCCTGTGGCTCACCTCAGCGAGCTTAACAACTGCCTCATAATCAATTTCACCATGTTTTGCAATTCCAGCAGCATGGATTTTGAGGATTTCCATCCTTGACTGTTCATTTGGCAATGGAATCTCTATTTTCCTGTCTAGTCGCCCCGGACGAAGAAGTGCAGGGTCCAGAACATCAGGTCTGTTTGTTGCCATAATCATTTTAACCTGGTTTCACACAGTTTCAGATGAAATCACAAAATATAAGTGTCTTACATACACCTGCACATCTACAAGGGTTACAGGATTAGATAACCAAATGAAACATTTAGAACTCAGTTTAATCAGGAACCTTCCCAAGCTGGTCAAATCCATCCAGCTGATTAAGCAACTCCATGAGTGTTCTTTGAATTTCACGGTCAGCACTTGTTCCCTCGCTGAAACGGCGTCCACCAATGGCATCAATCTCATCCATAAAAATGATACAGGGCTTAACAAGATGAAAACCAATTATGAGAATTTTTTTAGAATGGTATCGTAGGAGCTTCATTGAATAATCCATTTTTGGCTTTGAGGCCTTACTTGGTGGTCACGAGCATACCCAAACATTTCCCGAATCAATCTTGCACTCTCGCCAATGTATTTATCAATTATGGCACTTGATACAACCTGAATAGAGTACCAAACATAAAATTATGCCATATACATAGCTTTAAAGTGATCCAAAACTGAAGGAGATACTAACAGCTTTGACACTGAGTCACAACCAACAAAGTCTGACCTTCAAAAAATTGGCATCTATGTTGCTAGCAATTGCTCTAGCTAATAATGTCTTGCCAGTTCCTGGAGGTCCATAGAGAAGAACACCCTGCAACAACAAATATAAGGATACTCTAATGAGATCTCTCGCAAATCTGGCTGGAATAGAAGGCAATATGGCCTTGCTAAAGATGCTGCAGAAAAAGCAAAATACTTACCTTGGGAGGTTTGATGCCAACCCTCAGGAAGAGTTCAGGATTCATCAGAGGCAACTCTATAGATTCCCTCAGTTCTCGGATTTGATCTGACAAGCCACCTACCGCAGAGTAGCTAACATTTCCAGGATCTTCATGAAGCATATTATAAACAACTGGATCGACCTGTAAAGGAAAGTGTCAACATAGATCAAAAAATCCTAATGATAAGACTAATGTTGGTCTAAGAAACCAGTGGAACAAATTAATGAAACCAGTTAATAACATATTAGCAAGCCAAGGAAATTACTAACTTCACGGGGAAGCGCCCGCATAATCGTAAGAGTAGTCATATCAAGAACCACCCTAGTTCCTGCAGTCAGTTTTTCCTTGTCCACTTTACTGCGGCAGCCAACCACATACCTTGGACCACTACTGGCTTTAACTATCACTGAAACAGTACACACAGCATTAGTCAGTTACATGAATGTCTTCAAGCTCCTTCAACACAACCCTTGTACGCATTCATTATGAAGAAGAACAAGAAGATAGTGGAACAATAATCCTTTTACTGGGCACAACTAGCAAAATGGTGTCCCTCTATATGGTGAGACCCATTTTCCATATTAAAATATATGGAACTTCTTAAGGTAAAAAGTAGTAGGAACACAATTGGGACGAGAAGCAAGAGAATGCATCAATAGATCAGCTTCCAAAACTAGAACTCATTTTAAGTAACAAGTCGACAAAAACAAAGACAAAATGAAGAGAGAAAGATTACATCGTTCATTGTCCAAAGGCCTGAGAACTTCGCCTATGATCTGTCCAACACTCTGAAGTGATTTCAGATCATCTTCTGTCTTGGTGAACTCCTTCTTTGTAGCCCGCAAATTCTCTCTAACTAAACAAATCCCATCACTTGTTAGTCATATCATTAACATAAATAGCAAAACAGCAAGGGAAGCTTATGGTTTATAACATGAACCCAATAGTGTCAGAAAGCAGCTAAAATGTTTCTCAAATAACTAAACAAAGAAAACACACAACATTAAATTTCCCAAATGGCAAAAAAAAACAGTCTAAAATACGCTTACCCTCAACTATCTACAATGTTTTGGAATGAATTTGTAGAAGTCGCAATCCTCTCCTCTCTTACTCACTCATTTTCACTATTTCTCCTATGCCTCGTCCTCCTTCTTCTTCTTGCCTTGTATACTTGTTCTCCCGTGCTACTTTAACTACAGTGAGATCTTTCAACATTTAACCCCTATTTTAACATTTTTTGTTTAGATGCTTTTCACTGAGTATCGGACTTGTTGTACCCAGACACAATCATCAAAACAGGTGGTCTTAGATGATCATGAAATAAAAGGTTTCTTAAAGGAAATGTTGTAATCTTAATGGAGATGCACAGGGAGCTTGGCACAAGATATTTGCCAAGCAGTTGTAAGTAGTTATCATCTGCAAACAATAGGGGCAAAGAAGCCATTTTTTTAATACACTAACTAGACACAAACACACAAAAAATCCACTGTTTTTCATATTTTCTTCTACTTGTTGGCCATCACCAAGCCACTTAATCTAGAAAAGAAGTACTCCTCATTGAAGCAAGAAAGAACACGGGATCAACCTATCAAACACATGAATCACCCAATCGACCAAGCTCTGATGCTGGTAGAAATTTAAAGATCACAAGAAGTCTGTTCTGTAGGCCCTGACCTTAAAGATTGCAGTTTGATTAAGCTTCCTCTTCCAATATAATTCCACACGATTTACTTGGAGCTTCATTATTAACACTATAAGTTCTCAGATGTTTGAGGATTATCGAATGCTGGAGATTATGACACATTCATGTAACTTCTGGTCGCATAAATGTTACCAGAAGTCTTTTAGCAAACTCATAGTTGAATTTTTCAGTTGTGGACGGAAGAGATGCTAAGGAAAATAAATGTTACTGTAATTGTTTGTACTCTTGATTTCACCAACCAAAAAAGCCTCGAACATGGAGCACTAGTTTCATCAACTGGACGCACATAAATACAGGATTATTCAACTTCGACAAGGAAACAAATATTTTTGAGACCTCTATCACTAAATAAAATCAACAAACCAATCCATATATTCCAACATGTTCTTCATAATGACTAATAAATGAATCACAGAGTTTCCAATGGCATCTTCATTCAGTAAACTATGCTTTAACAAACATACGAGGCTTAGTTGTAGTAAATTTCAATTTCCTGAAACCGAATGGCATAAATGACAAAGAAGACTCTTGACTCTTTTTATACTTCTTCACCTTTTTAGATATCAATATTAGAATTTTTCTACGTAAGACCTTAGATATCTAAATCCTCCACTCGAGCGCCCAGTACAAGCAGTCAATCTTTGCTTAGCGTACATGTTAACTCTACTGAAAACCAAAGTAATCTAAAATTTAAGCCCTAAATTTTTCGAGCAGCCAAACAAAGCATTACCTGAGAAGACACATAGTAGTTTAGCATTCAATTTCATATAATATAACCAAACCGAAGACGGAAAACTACACATATTACATATTCAGAGGTATCCTTACAAAACATAAGCATATGAATTACAGATACATATATATGCTTATATTGAAACCCTAGAAAAACTGAATCAGAACAAGAAAGAAATTAGGATTAAATGTGGATATGAATCTGACCTCCTCGGACTCGTGACTCGAGTTCCTTATGCTGGAGTAGCTTTTTCCGGTACTCAGCCACCGCAGTACGACGGCGAACGGCGTCTTCCGCCTCGCTCGACATCGGATTTTTCCGATCTATCAATAAAATTTAGCTACTGATCCGTGAGTACTCGACTTGCTCGGAAAATCGGACAAAAAAATCTAGTTACTGGTTCGTGAGAACTCGACTTGCTCACCAAGCAATGGCAAATGGAGGAGCTCTGTCCATTTTATAATTGGTGAAGGTTCTCATCATTTGATCTAAGCAAACTATTTGTAACAGTGAGCATTGGGCTGGTCTTGTCATCATTGGACCGGGCCAAATGGCCCATAATTATACTTTAGCATATCAAACTAGACCAATTCACATTAGATTCCACTTTAGGTTGAAATGGGTCAATCCAAAGGCCATTTAAGATATGTTTTCCAAAAAGGATTTAGCAACATAGCATTTCTCTTTCCACAGACCAAAAACAAAAACAAAAATTCGAGACGAAAATATACTATGGAAAAATGTTATGTACCGTTGGGTAACGCTTTTTATTCAAATAATGAAAATTATCATTGTTTTTGGCCAAAAATTGCTTTAGAAAAGCAAAAATTAAAAAGTACTTTTGTTTAAAAAAAAGAGTTAATACAAACCTATAAAATGAATATGTATATGTTAAAAAGAAAAGTTTAATATACGAGGCTCTTATCGAAATAGGATTTATGGAGTTTTGACAGACACAAACTTATTGAAAAAATGCTACAAAATTCAAATTAAATCTAAAAATTAAAATCCAAATAAATATCATCCCTTGAATAAGTGTGAGAGGAGTAGGTCCTATTGAAAAAATTTATGGGATTCACTTATCCCAGGAATGATATGTATTTGAATTATAATTTTTTGAATTTTATTTAAATTTTGTAGCATTGCTTATTTTACTGTCGTACGTGAAGAAATTTTATCAATTTTATTTTTTGAAAATAATAACCAAACATGCTTTGATTTTTAGTCAAAAAATTAACTCTCTTTTTTGCTTGTGATAAAAAAAAAAGCTAATCAAATGCTGTCTAAAAAACAATGTTGTTTGTTCGCTTCATCATACTACGTCAAATATCAAAATTTCACCTCTTTTTATTTTTGTTTTGGTTCAAAGTCAGGGATATTCGGTCTAATTTACGCTCATTTCGACTAATCTTTGATCTGATCTGACTAAAGACAGGTCATTTACGTCGGAATTAAAATATTTATAAGAGATAAATCCCTCATACCCTGATCCCAAGAAGTTATCATGATTCGAATTTAGAACTCATTTCTGTTACTACTTAAACTTCCAAATAACTACTTTGACCATGTAAAAAAATAATTACTTTGTATATGAAAATAAGATTCACTTTACATACTTATAAGTTTGTTATTGAATAATACCACTACATAACAACGACGTGTTATTACCGTTACATTACACCGGGCATGTACATGGGAGGGGGGGGGGGGAGAGGCACAACAGTGGTTTTTGACCATTTCAAAGGTTTAATTGTGGATGCATTTTAGTTTGTTCATACTTCCTAAGAATAGGCAACAACAACAATATCTTCTACCCTACAAAAATGGCTTCAAAATTAGCAAACACAATGAATTCCAGTCCACTTTCACAAAAAAAAAAAAAACAAAAGCATAACCATATTGAAGCAGCTCAAAATAGACAATGAACATTCCCCTTTTCCCTCACATCCTGCCTTAGTCTCTTCCATTTCTTCCTCCTTAGCCAGGAGGGCAAGGCTCCTCCAAGGAGATGGAAAAGATACCTAGAGGACTCATAATGGATCTCCATTTTTTGCCATTCGCTTCATCTTCAACAATGGCAATCCTCCTGGTTCTTTTCTCTCTCTTTATCGTCGGCCCTACTATCACCGCCGTGTCCACCGGTGCCCCGGCGAAATCCGCTTCTTTCACTCCAGAAGATAACTTCCTCATTGATTGCGGCGCTACCTCTGACACCACCCTTTCGGACAAAAGGGTCTTCTCAGCAGATCAAAATACAGGTATTCATGAGATTAGACTTATTGGGGCCTATTAATGGGTTAAATCATTTGATCAACTCAATAATAAAAGTATATCACAAATAAAATAGAAATTCAAAAAAATAAATATTTATTTTTAAAATATTAACCGAAATGTAGCGATACATTTCGAAACACAAATATTTGGACACTCAATCCAATGATTAGAGGATCTGCAATAATGGTCAGAGTCAAATCTCAACGCTCCAACCTTGTAAAAGTTCAAAATAGTGACTCAAAGCAATCCAAGAATTAAAATTAAAATTTGATAATTTCTATTAGAATTTGTTTTGGGTTATAATTTGGGCCAATCCAAAAATAAAAACACTTTAAAAATATTTCAGAAATAAAAAAAAATAGAGAAAAAAATTAAAATTTCATTTTCAAAAATATTAATTTGAACATTTCAAAGTACTTTAAAATATATAAATTTTGATATTCAATTTCTGATTTATTTCAACTTTGATAGAAAAGGTTTAGGTGGGAAAAAAAATTCAATAATTGATTTAATCACAATTCATTTTCGGTGAAAAAAACAGAAATTATGATCTTTGGTCATGACCCCTAAGTCTCAGAAATCACTAGTTTTACCCTTAAATATTACGTAATTTAATTTTGACTCCCTTAATATTTCAACATGTTCAACTAATCTTCTCTACTTTGAATTTTTCCGGTTGCCACCACAGGAAAGTACCTGTCCAACGATGGCCGTGACGTCCAAGTTTCGGTACCATCAGCAGATGTTCCTCTGCCTATCTATCTCACTGCAAAAATCTTCTTCAACGATGCCACTTACAAGTTCCGCATGGCCCGACCCGGTTGGCATTGGGTCCGACTCCATTTCTTCCCAGTTCAAAGCAATGTGTTCAATCTCCAACATGCGAAGTTCTCTGTCATCACAGACACATTAGTCCTCCTCCATGAGTTTCAAATTGGAAATGGGACTAATTGGCTTGTTAAAGAGTATCTTGTTAACGTAACAACTCAACAATTCTCTATTAAATTTCAACCCACGAAGGACTCTGCGGCTTTCATCAATGCCATTGAAGTAGTTTCAGCGCCGGACATGTTGATCGGAGATGTCGGTTCGACACTTTTTCCGGTAGCACAAACCACAGGACTGTCCATAAACTCTTATCAGACTGTTTATAGGCTTAATGTGGGTGGTCCTCTAATCAGCTCACTGAATGACACCCTTGGAAGAATTTGGATTCCTGATCAACCACACCTTAAACCAGGCCTTGCAGCCAAGAATATCTCAGTTTCACCGTCGGTGATCTCTTATCCCGACGGTGAGTCGCCGTTGATCGCGCCGCCAACGGTGTATTCATCTGCAGTTGAGATGGAAAATGCCAATGTGGGTAGTCCAAATTTCAATGTGACATGGAATTTAGACATTGATATTTCATATGCATACCTTGTTCGTTTGCATTTTTGTGACATAGTGAGCAAATCTCTCAATGATCTCTATTTCAACGTGTACATCAACGGAAAAATGGCGATTTCAGGGTTGGATTTATCCACCATCACCGGAGGTTTGGCCATGCCTTACTATAAGGACTTTGTTGTGAATTCATCAATGGTATCTAGTCCTCTTTCGGTTCAAATTGGTCCGATGAACGAAGACACCGGATCGAAAAATGCAATTCTTAATGGTTTGGAGGTCTTGAAAATGAACAATTCGGTTGGTAGTATGGATGGAGAGTTTGGTGTTGATGGAAAATCAGCCACCGGAGCAACCCGTGGAGCGGTGGCCGCTGTTGGGTTTGCAATGATGTTTGGAGCCTTTGTGGGGTTAGGTGCAATGGCTGTGAAGTGGCAAAAGAGGCCTCAAGATTGGCAAAAGAGGAACAGTTTCTCTTCATGGTTGCTTCCACTTCATGCTGGAGACACAAGTTTTATGTCAAGCAAGAACTCAATAGGGTCTCGAAAGACCCAATTCTACTCATCAACAACAGGTCTAGGAAGATACTTCTCTTTCATGGAGTTACAAGAAGCTACAAAGAATTGGGATCCATCTGCAATTATCGGTGTTGGGGGGTTCGGAAATGTATATATTGGAGAGATTGATGATGGAACAAAAGTGGCTGTCAAGAGAGGAAACCCACAATCTGAACAAGGTATCAATGAATTCCAGACTGAAATACAGATGCTATCAAAGCTTAGACATCGTCATTTGGTGTCTCTGATTGGTTATTGTGACGAAAACTCGGAGATGATCTTGGTTTATGAGTTCATGTCCAATGGCCCTCTCAGGGACCATCTGTATGGGAAGGACTTGCCATCAATGTCATGGAAGCAGAGGCTAGAAATATGTATCGGTTCGGCTCGGGGACTTCATTACCTCCACACTGGTGCTGCACAAGGGATTATCCATCGTGATGTGAAGACCACAAACATATTGCTTGATGATAATTTCATAGCCAAAATGGCTGATTTTGGGCTCTCAAAAGATGCTCCAACCACAGAACAAACTCATGTAAGCACTGCAGTGAAGGGAAGCTTTGGGTACTTAGACCCTGAGTACTTCAGAAAGCAACAACTGACTGATAAATCAGATGTATACTCTTTTGGAGTGGTTTTGTTAGAGGTCTTGTGTGCACGTCCAGCTTTAAACCCGGCATTGCCGAGGGAGCAAGTGAATTTGGCAGAGTGGGCAATGCAATGTAAGAGAAAAGGCTTGCTTGACAAGATCATAGACACAAGCCTCGTCGGACATATCAATCTTGAGTCTATGAAGAAGTTTGCTGAGGCTGCAGAGAAGTGTCTGGCTGAGTATGGTGTTGATAGGCCTACTATGGGTGATGTGCTGTGGAACTTAGAATATGCTTTGCAGCTTCAAGAAGCTTCTTCACAAGGAAAGACTGAGGATGAAAATAAGGCATTTGTAGCTTCTGCCTCTCCTGCTATTGTGGCCCCAACGGCTGTTTCTGCCTCTGATAACCGTCCCGTTTCTTCGCCTGAGGATAGTAATAAACCAGCTGAGGTTCCTGCCATTGATGAGAATTCTGGAACTGCAATATTCTCTCAATTCTCCACGCTCAATGGTCGATAAATTCACAGCTTGATTGAGCAATGACACAAAACTTCAAATGGGAATTGTATAATACAACATAAAGCCAACTTCTAGTGAGGATTGATTCTGTAATTGTTTCCTAATTGAAATCCTATACTCTCTTTTATATCTTGTAATGTATTGTTTCGACTGACTGTAACCTTTTTTTTTTCTCTTCTTGGGTAAGTCAGTGAAGCTGTAATAAGTAATTCACAATCAGCTTGATAGAATGACTTACTAATAGCTATTGAAATGTACCCAAATGTTTCATCAATTATAGGGACTAACCATACCCAATTTTTGCCATGATCTATCTTCCATTGTTGCAAAACATATTGATCACAAGGTTTGTGCCTACTCAATATGAGTCATCCACTATTTCTAACATGGTCGTTTTTAGAAGAATACTGGACATAAATTACATAACTCATGAGACACGGAACAAGTTAAACTGTATAGACCACAGGCCTGCCCCAAGCAGGGCAATTTGAAATCAATTCCATGATGATCAACATGCCTTGCATAATGGTAATCTGTGAGGATGGGAGGACAGTGCAAGGAGGATTACAGTTGGGGGCTTGTAGGTGATAAACTTCTGTGCAGTTAATTTGGTTTTGGAAACACCTGCAGGTTCAAAATTTGCATGAACTCCAAGATGGTAAATGCAAGAAATCACCCAATTATAAACAGAGGTCGATTCTAGTGTAAGGATAAGTTGTCATCTACCCACGCCATACATCGAGAATTCATGATTGGGACTTGGTGTCTTCAAAATAGGCCTAAAATTATTTTTATTATTCTACATCTTCCACAATACGCTATAAATAGAAATCTTATGCACCGGTTACTATCTCTAGGTACAAATGTAAAGCATATAAAATGATAATTTATTTTCAAAAAATAAGGCATAATATTGTCAAAAAAATGCTTTCATTATGACCAAATTTTAGATGATCTAACCTCTTTTATTTTTTTACAGTTTCTTACTGCCACTCTGAGATATAACATAGTCAAAAAGGTATTGTTTTAGGGGAGCAGGATTAAGAAATAAAAAGCATTTTTGTCAAGGGACATAATTCAAGAGGATATTTGTAACTAATCAGCCGAAAAAAGAGTCCTCACTAAGACTCTAAAAGGACTCCCTCATTTTTGCTTGGATGGCCATTTGTAAGTGTATACTGTCATTCTTTATTCTATGAACTCTAAGTCATAACCTCCCTCTTAACTAGAAAACGTCTAAATCATAATCTCTATCTTTAATTTTTTTTTTTTTTATTTTGATTCAACGGTCAGAAATTTATGGGTTAACTTAGGCGCAACTCGATTAATCATTTATTTGGTATGGTAAAAGATAGGTCATCCATGGCGGGAATAAGATATTCATGAGTATATATCTCTCATAGTCTAATCTCAAAGAATTATCAAAATTTGAATTCAAGATGTCTGAATTTGCAATTCGGTCTTATTACCACTTGAACTACTTCTTGAAATTATCTCTGTTTTTAAATTTAAATCTAAATGATCGGTACTATATCATCGCTTTCAAAATAGCTCAATAGTGAATAACTTTTTCTGTCGTGCTCATTTATTTGAAAAGTGTTATGCCAAAGTCCTCTAATACTTCTAGGCACGAATTATTTCCATGTTTATGACCAAATTTTGGTCCCATGGTGCAAATTAATCCAAATGGATGGTAAGAGTATAAGTTTGAATGTCCAACAAATTATGAATGAACATTAATTGGTGATGGAGCCAAAAAGCAGATGCCCCCAGAAAGGTGAGGCTTATTGAATGAACAAGAGGGAGTGTAGATAAGAATGTAGACCTGGCCGGCTTTTATTCATCCACATCCAAAAAGCAGACCAAAACCTGTGGGTGGCTAAAACATGGTGCTTTTTAGAGGCTCTAAACCAACCCACCTTTGTCGACCACCAAGTGCTTGGTTTATCTCCTCATCAACTTTGTATAAGAACGCATACCACCTAATTCCTCCCAGCTCTCTCATCTCTCTCTCTCTCTCTCTCTCTCTCTCATCATGGATATGGAGGGCGAAAACGAAAATAAGAGGACATTTGATCTGGGTTCACTAAGGATCAACCTTCCACAGAAGTAAGTATCTCGATTCATTTTAAATAGTTGAGGTAATGGCTTTGTTGAGTCTCAGGTATATAATCACATGCGTTAATAGTATTTTTAGTTTTTGAAGTATAATTTTTTATCAATTTAGTCTTTTATTATATCAATTTTTTTAATTTCATCCTTAAATTATTCAATTCGCGTCATTTTATTCGCATATCATTTTATATTATTTTTTTAAACGTTAACAGGTTCCGTGATTATTCGGTCAAAAACTTAATAGGTCTGTCTAATAACCATCCTTGGAAAAGTAATGAATTTTTTTTTCTTTTGTAATTCAGCAAGAGAGGGTTGTCACGATATTACTCCGGGAAATCGAGATCATTTACGTGCATGGCCGACGTTCACTGTGTGGAAGATCTGAAGAAACAAGAACGCCCGAATGTGAAAAAGAGGAAGAAGCAAATGGACAGGCAGGGTGTGCAGGTTCCGCCATTGTCGTGCCGTCGAGTGTTCAGTAGTAGCCAATTTGCTACACCGATCATTGGAGTGTAGCTATCGGGGAAGACAATACCATCATTTCACCCTCTCTTTGATTGTAAATTTGTTTTTTTTTTTTTTAACGGATAGAGTGTTTGGGTCAACTTACCGCACCTCGGTTAATCTCTTCTCAAATTCAATTAAAAAAACAGATTATTCACGTCAGGAGTAAAGAGTAAAATATTGACGAGCATAAATTCTTGGCCAAGGGGGTTCTAACTTCCAATCTAAGCAGTATGTAGTTTTTTTATTTGATTACGCAGTTTCCTCTGAGATTTTGCATATTTTTCAAGGCTCAAAAAGCAGGTGAAAGGAGCAAATTGAAATGTCCATATGTTATGTAATTATATGCACAATTATACAAATGTAATTTTGATATGAAATGAAACGATCTAGCAACCAAATTCATTAAATATTTCCCAGTTATGAGTTCCTCGAGCTGTTCAATTTCTGCTCGAAACAGATTTTAGAAAAGCTAATTGACTAACAGGGCATGAGGGGATGAAGTGCAAAACCATAAAAGCACAAATAAGCAAGACATTATTTTATTTTATTTTTGTTACAAGGTGTTCAAGTTTATGATAACTAATTCTTTGAGTTCAGTGGTTAACCACCATAGCATGAGCTAAGTTAGAGTGTGTCTCTAAAGGATAAAGGTGACTAACCCTTAAAGGGTGTGAGAAATAATTAAACCGAGACTTTTGAAATATCAAATATCAAACTCAATCACTAAATCATCTCTAAAGATTTAACAAGACATTATTTACTAGCACAAGAACAACCATTTAAATCGAAATTACATCAGAAACCAAACTCGGTAGTTAAAGTCCCGATCAGATTGACTCTTTCGAGAAGAGGAACTCTGCATAGTTTGGCTTACAAGTGGATCCATCGGACATGCATCCAATGAACTCGTCAAATTGCTTTCGAAAGTGGAAATCCTTATGTTTTTTTTGCCTAATTGCCCTGATTCTAGTCCAGTCGGGGTTGCTTGTTTGTCTATAGAAATTGATGTTTGGACCAGAACGTGTCATTTTATCCACATATCATGTCGGCGGGGATTTCCAACCCTTTTTATCCCACATCCCTGGTCAATCAGGTTAACTCACATTATTCACACCATTTATTTTGTATCTTGGATAGCACATACTTATATCTAGCTCTTAATCACCAAAGAAAACAACCCCTCGGACTATTTTACCATATCCCACTGCCTAATCCCAATCTTATGCCCAAAACAAAACATGCCCCCCATGTATGGTGAAAAAAAGTCATAACCAAACCTCCCAAGTCCCACCTACTTCGGGTAAAGAGATAAATAATAAACAACCTTATTTCCATTCATTCCCCAACTTAAACCAGCAACACGTTGGGTGAATGAATGCCTTTCGACAACCAGATCCAATCTCTACACTACATGTATGGAAATGATGTAAAAATGTTTCATGAAAATTAGAAGAATCGGTTCACCAAAAGGGAAGGAATTTGCAGATTCAACATGCTAAAACAATGCCCACAAATTCTAGGCCAGCAACACAGAAAGGTTTACATTAACCAATATATAACATCACCTCTATATTATAATCTGCATCAAAAATACTTGGAATAGCAAGAATAATTGCTTTTATCTCCACAAAGAAATGCAAGAGGAAGCAGCAGGTCATGTATCATTCACCGCTTTCCAATCTTTCTTCCTTACGCTATGCTTTAACAAAAAGTACTGATAATTACAATGTTCAACCTCACCAACTACTCAATAATTTAAGTTAGAATAAGTACATATTGTTGCCATGTTTGTAATGGCAATACTAAGATGGAGAACCAATATAATGTGCCTAGCTCAAGCGACATTGTGACCTAACAACACACACTCCTGAAGTTATAAGCATCAAAAGAATTGCCAATTCTCCATATGGTACAAACTACAAAATTAGTAGGTTATGCCGTGACAAGAAGTTCAGGCAAAATGCCTAGCGCAACCTCTTCTTCTTGCTGATGCCAGAATCTCCATCCTCAAGCATGACAACATCACTGTCATCATCAATTTCTTGTGGTTTTTTCTTACTACTTGTCCCATGTTCGACGCTAGAGAGATCTGAAGTGACTGCATTAGAAGTGTCGGACAGCTTTCTTTTCCTCTCAGGAGCTACACCCTCAGTTACTACTGGAACTATTTCTATGTCATCATCCCCTATCGTCTCCAGAGGAATTGCTTGAGATGCACTCGAAGTGCTTGCGCCATTGCCCATAGATTCCTTCCCATCTTTTTCTGCTGCAGGAGGTTGTGTCCATCCAGAAAGAATCATTCCATCAGGTTCCTTCTCCTCGTCAAAGTCCTCTCTGTGAGGATCAAAATGTAAATGGCGTCTTTAATATTCAGATATGACCAAGACATTAAGAGCTAACCCAACAGACCAGAATCAACAGTAAGATACAAAACAAGCCATTAACCTAGGGTATCTTGAATGAATGCAGAACACAAATTAAGGCAATGATACATAAAATCACGAAACTGCAATAGAACTGACCAAAAAGAATCATTTGATTCATTTCAATATACACCTCCCGCTGGCCAGTACAATCTTGGAGACAAAATTAGAGGGAGGAATTCCAATGACCATTTAAAATAAAATAATTTTTATTTGCCACCTTGTTAACTTTATCCAATAGTTGTACACAATGTTATCAGAACCGGACCGGACATTGAACCAGCAGAGAGACCGGGTCAATGGTTCAACCGGTAATTCAACTGATCAGACCAGTCGTATAATAAAAAAAAATAAAAAAATATAATAATTTGGCCAAAAAATATAAACTATGTTCACAATACATATAATTTTTCGTACCAATCATAAAATTCACAATCACAATAAAAATAAAATCCACAAAGTAGTATTCACAATTACTTACTTTCACGTGTAGTATAGATAAAGCCTAATTGGATCTTGATGAACCTGTAGTTGATTTCTATTATGATAGAAAAATAAATGGGAGCAGCTTGAACAACACATTGCACATTCCTCTCTTTCATAATTACACAACTTTCGATCATCAGTTAATCCATTTCAAGGGTTTGATCAATCAGGTGGTTTGTATTGTAGCTTCAGCACATAATATCACTGGTTCAAGCCTCGCGAAGACACGAAGAGCAGAGCGTTGTATTGCTGGTGAGCCACCTGAGTACTGAACAACCTCGATGGACTTCTTCCTGGGTCGCCTGAGCACTGGTCGCTCAGCACCGATGGCTGCCTCACTCTATGTTCTCTGCCTTATGCAATTTAGGAAATGCCCAAATTTCAATTTTTCATTTTTTTCTTTTATGGACTTCAAACCGGTCCAGTTTTTAAAAACCGTCCGATTCACAGTTTTCTCCAAAAACCGGCTGGTTTGACGGTTTTTTACCCAGTTCCCTTCCTTATGCGGTTTAATTAGTCAACCGGACCGGTTGGGGTCCTGGGTCATGGTTGAACCGGTCCGACCGGCCAGTCGGATCCGGTTCTAGTAACACTGGTTGTGCAGAAAATTGTATTTTATTAGTATCACACTCCTTATTAAAACTTCACAACCAATCTGGCTTTTTAAACTATTGCAAGACAACATTCAACATCCATTCTCTCCCTTTGATGAACTGCCCTCACAATCACAAAAATCTGGCAAATTAGCAAACAAATAATTAATGTTAAATGAAAATTTAAATATCAAGAATATGCCATCCACACTTGAAAATTAGTAACAAAACAGCAATACGATAAATTGTACATGCACATAGAAAGCTAGCGAGAAAATGTTGGCACTATATGGTTCTGAACCACCATTTGTCACAGTGCATGGTCAATAAATTCCAAGCACAGGTTCACAGCACTCAAAAAAGGAGCAAATCAAAGATAATCAGACAACATCAATAGAGAACATTGAGAAATCCTAACTCAGCAGCTCTAGGGGAAAACATCACAAAATATGTGCATGTATGATAAGAAAAGCAAAGGACTTTCAGCCAAAGAAGCTAAGGTACAGAAACATTAGTCCACAAAACCAGAAAAAGAAACAAGCAAACTACATGTCTTCTAATATGCTTTTTGCCACCAAAGGCTCAAAGCTGAAAATGATATTAAATTCGTAGTTCTGTATTCTCCAGGATATAGGCCTTCACCAAACTTGCTAGGCAAATTGACCTTATGATTCCAACCAATCAGATACCCAAAATCCGAGAAATGCCCCCCCCCAGCGCGGGGGTCCTCTCCCTCTCTCTGCACCCAAGATTAAAAAATATATATATACACTTCCACTAGAGGGTGTCATTGTATGGTGTAGTGGTAAAATGCCATGCAAACAACCGTGTGAAGTTGTGGGTTCAATGAAATCTATCCCCTGAGCACCCCCGGCTACTGAGACTGAACTGGGAAATGACCTTTTTTAGCTACACGTTCCTACTCAGGAAGTAGTCAAAATGTGCCAGTGATAAAAAAAAAAAAAGAGCATAAATCACTTATGGAGATCGAGGTTAAGGAACAAGAGAGTAACAAATGTAGGATAAATCCAATTAGTTGACAGAGGTTACTTTGGAATATGGGGCTTAAGACAGCAGAATACGCTTAAAAACCCAGAAACTAGGAATGAGGGAAAGAAAGCTTCAAAGGACTATTTCATTGCAATAGAGAGCAAGAGCATTGCATAACGCAAAAGGTTTCCATTTAATCCAGCAACTCTTATTATCTACATTAACTCTATTAGCGTATCTTCATAAAGCCAAATCCAAGCACCAAAGCATTAAGACAAACCTATGTTTCACATTGATATTGCATGTGAGCTCTTGTTGAAGATCCTCAACTGTGAGAATTGTCCCACCAGTGACTGGAGAAGGAAGCTCCGATAGCAGCTGAGGACAAACACAAGCACAATGGAACTCATCAATAAACAATATGGAAACCCTAAAATATAAAGTCAATGACACGGAAAAAAAAAAAGGAAAAGCAGTAGACGTACCTTCTCAAGGTTCGCTTCATAATTGGCTACCATATCTTCGTCAAGATCATCACCAACCTCATACAGTAGGACCTGGCCATGCATAATTAGTGGCAGATTCATGCCAAGCTTGGCTTTGACAACCTTTTCCACAAAGTCCCTCAACTTTGAACGCTTAGTATTAATCTCGAGTGACAAAGGTGTCTACTTGCACATATATTACATGAGAGTTAGGACGTAATCCTTTGTCCACGACACAAGGAAATTTCAAAAACAAATAAAGAGGAGTGATGAGACCATTTGACACACCTCAGAACAAACATAGCAGGATTTGTTTGGCTCAAATGGCTCCACGGGCATAAGAAGCATCTTTCTGGATGGATGTTCAAGACAATATGTCATCCTATACAGACGTACAGATCATATTAGTGCACAATGGTCAATAAAAGAACAGTGACTAGTATCTTTAGTATAGGGTGTCCAACATTTTAGGCAACAACATCTTGCCACAGTCTCATAAACCTTCCCAGAGACTACATAATTACAAAATCTCAAAAGAAAAAAATGAAGGAATTCTTATGGTCCACTCTACCTAGCTTATCTATCACAATCATTAGGCATGTTATCTTCAAATCCCACAGACTTATGAAGAATATTGTGCTGATGAAAGAGAACAGGAGGAATGTTCATTTTAATTTCACACACACACACACCAGTTTTTGACCCCGAGCACCTGCTTCACAGCAACCTACGACTTACCATCAACAAAATACGAAGGCAAGCTTTTGTGTCAGCACGGATAATAGTGGCTATAGGAAAGCCAATCCAAGAAATATCATGAACGCTCCCTCAAAATAATTTAGATGCATGCAACTTCAGTTCCCTAGTGAAACTAAAATCCTGATGCAAGGATCTTGCCACATTTCAGTGGCTTAAGGAGTAATCAAATGAAGTCTGGAACAAGTTGGAAACAAGCATAGAACAATTGATACACTCAAACTCGAGCACATAAATTAACCATACCATAGGAAACGGGGCAAAATGGCATGACTAGGAAAAAGTAAACTTCTAATCGTGGTAAAGGAATTCGACCAACCTATAGTTGCTGGTATCCTTCCGTAGCACCTTGATTGCCTCGATCACAATCAACCCAGCAATGATAGCGTTGGTTGTTGCAACAGCATGCACAATATTACCGGCAATACCTTTAGCTTCAAAAAGGCTATGCAAAGGAATCCCAAAAGATGCAGCCCGAATATTTGCAGCAGCGGTAACAAATTCTACAGCTAACTGATCATCCTTATCGAAACTCAAGTTGCCAATTTCCTGCAAAAGATAATCAGATAGGGGAGAGGAGGGAGGAAGCATGAGATAGCTTTGGTGCGATGGGGATTGATGTTAATACAAAAGACTAAAACCCAAAGGGTGGTACAAAAACTTCATCAAATGCGAGCAATCAACATAAACCTTTTGTCTTTTCAAGAAAAATAGCTTCAGCGCCTCCAGAAAGATTCTTGAATTTTCCATTAAGCTCCATACATCCTGTGGATTCTTTAGACCCAAAGATGCCATTGCAGACACTGACAAGGGATCACCAGCCACTAAATCTTTGTCTACATTCCCATTCTGCTGAATCAATTCTGTAGCGAGGACATCTCTAACATATACAGGCCTTGGCCTGTTACGGTTTTTCCAAGTCTCTTCATTTGATAAAGCTACTTCAATGTTATAACCAAAAACATGATCATATATTCTCCTCCCGTACTGCTCGATGTCTTCATCCTTTTTACTTTCAAAAACATCTTCTGCATGTTCTGATGAGCTAGCAGCATCACTAGTGCGCACATTCAAGTCATTTTCCTGATTCTTATCCCCAAACATCTTTGCAAATAGTAGGTCTTTTGCCCATACAATACAATGAACAAACTGTAACATTGAGATGATATTGTCAAGTCAAAATAATAAAAAGGAAATGATATTGTCAAGTCAAAATAATAAAAAGGAAATGATATTGTCAAGCATACTACTACGAAAACAGAAAATCATTCAGGAGGTAAGAAAGAAAATGAGTCATTAAGTTTCATAAACAGTGGTCACTGTCTTCCTTTACTATTTAGTCTTTGATAAGTTATTATATCCACAACACCCATGCCATGCTAATAGCTTTTTGAGGTTTAAAAATCAAACAGCATATCTTAATGAAATATCCATCAAATCTTTATGAAAAAATTGCTAACATGATGCTGAAGCGCACAAGAACAAAAACCAGCTAAAATGCATTTGCAATGGTGAAAATTCACCACTGTGTTATTTTACCTTACAAACCAGAACCTAAGGTTTGATTGACTTTTTTCTATCTATGCGCCTGTGGAAGATAAGATGATATCAGAAGATATGATAATTGGATTGATGGGATTAATCCATCCAATTTTTGAATTCTTGTTTATCTCATTTCAATGAGATCTGATTGTATGTTCACCCCATGTATAAGGTGTAACCCATTTGTTCTAAGCATCAAGAATATTAGGCTTTGAACCATGAATGTAGAACTTGTGACCGGACCACTTAAATTATTTCGTGTTCTTTCTTGGTTGTTTTTCCTTTATATTGAAATTTATCAGCATCAATACGAAGATTTGATATAGGGAGTAACCATTAAATAACCAGGGCTCGAAAATGTCTAGCAAAAAATTTTACTCTTGATTCATTATGGAACACAAACCACTAAATAATTCAAATGGAAATTCTTCGCACAAAATACAGGATAAAAGCAATGAAACTAGGTGGAAATACCTTTGACGGGGTACTCGTAATAGTGCACACAGGATAAGTTTTTGGAGATGGCTTTGGCTGGCATTCGTAACATTCTGTTTTACCTTTTGCATGTACAGTGACCTGCTTCCAAGAAAAAAATTTGGGGAAAAGATTATTATAACCAATTAGAGAAACAAATGGGGATATTTAAGTTTTAAATAGAATGCGATTGAGTTCTTCACTAAAAAAGGAGACATTTCTTGAAATTTTGCATCCCAATCAAAACTAATTTTCCAAACTTCCTCAAATAGAATAAAAAATAAATAGATGAAATATTTTTCCAATGAGTGAACAAGGGCTTTTGACAGAAACAAAAGGTGATATTTAAAATCATATATACAAGACATGAATAGCTTGTAGTAGAAGACACCTTATCAGCCACCCCAGTGTAAAAGAACCCCCAACAATCACTCATGGAAGCAATATACAAATAAAAACAACACATAGAACTTTAAAATATATCACAAGAAAATGTTAATAAACTACCATTACTTTTCAAGTACAAAGAATGAGAAATAAGTTACATTTCAAGTACAAAGAACAAGAAATAAGCTACAGGCCTGCCCGGGAAACCAAAGATATCATTCTGCCCCGGGGGGATAGGCTTTTCTAGTTTGTGCTTAAAAACTTTTTAACGCAGCACAGAAGCTACTCAACATCATTACATTTATTCCCATGGTAAAGCCGTGAACCACGTCCTTGACTACATATTATTCTCTATAAAATAGAATTACCTGTCCTAGAAACCCGGTAGTCCCACTTTCAACCAATGGAACATCAGCTGCCAAGCAAAGGCGATTCACATGTCGTCTAGCATCTAAGTTGTCAAGCCCATTCAAGACAACATTGAATTGCTTAAAAAAATCTACATTGAAGTCAGGGTCTTTAACATTTGCATGGTAAGGTGTAATGCTGATCTGAGGCCTAAATCTTACCACAGCATCCCGAGCAACCTGGTCAAAAAAGCAACCTGGTCAAAAAATTAACAAAAAGACAAATAAGAGAAATAACTGCACATGCTAGCAAACAGCACCCTGAGTTTGGAGATTATATACTCACTTTAGCCTTAGATTGCCCAACATGAGATTGTCGAAACAAGAATTGTCTATTTAGGTTACTCACTTCTATTGTGTCCATATCAATCTGCAAATAAATACAAAGAAAGGAACAATTCAAACCCACCATGCCAGCTCATCGATCACATAAATTTGAGCAATCCCAAAAAATGCATAGATCACACTGCAGATTCAAGCATCATAAAGAAGATAGAATTATTAAATAGACATAAAACATACGACACAACATGTGTATTTAATCAAGTGATACAGCTATTTTATAATTGTATTACAATAGAAAAAAGAAGAGTTGTAGGGGTGAAGAATGAGAGCTCCTTCCTCAAAAAAAAAAACCATATGAAAAATAAACTAGATAATATAGGGTAGTTGGCACTGAGAACAATCCAAAAGTGGCTGTCCCTCTCTTGGCAAATTAATATGGTTCCATATTGGCTGATTTATGGATTCATGAAATATCATTGACTGATTTGTGGATTCATGAAATACCCACCAGTAACGATGTGAATAAATCGAAAATATACTCATCAAATGGCAAGAAAGGAAAATGAGTTCACTTTTCCTTCAACACCAAAATACTGCTATGTGACTATCAACCAAAGAATCATAAAAGCCCATAGTAATCACCTATAATGCCTTCTACGGGAGATATAATCTCTGACATAAGGGCATATCTTCACAATCAAGCAACAAGAGATTAAAAGTTTGGTGCATAAAACTGAAATTACCACTACAAATGTCTAAAATGAAATTATATACTCATAAACACCAAAAAAATAAAGAATTTTACCCTGTTTTCACCCAAATATGTTTATATCACAAGAAGAAAACCTTAAGAACCACTAAACCCTCTTGATTTCTAAATACCAGTGGGAGCCCTGTGAAGCATATCCTTTGAGTGTGGCAGCTTTTTGTATCCCATAAGTCCAAAAATCTACCCATTATCAGAGGCAGGGAGTTTGAGGAAGGGCAAGCCCTCTGGAAGGCAGGAATTTGTTATTATGTTAATACAGAAACATTAGGATGCCTCTTATGTCTAGTGACACTACTTTTGCTGTTTGCCTACTCTTCAATTTTATTTTGTTGCAAAGGGCTCAGGCCCATGGTTTTTTGACACCCTCAATCACCAAGTAAAAATAACATCATAACAGCTGAATCTGCATCATAGTTCTTCCAGTATAACTTGAGCTTTGTGAGCATCTCCAATCCTTACCTTTTTTTTTTAAACCGAAATTCAAATTTGGGTAACAAAACTCATAAATATCTTTCCCAATGCTACACCCTCACCCATATCCATATCAAATCATGAGAGACTCATTTTTTTAGTCAAATCTAAGTAGACTCAAATCCATACCCAAATCTTTAATGGTGAGATTTCAGCTTCCTTTAAAGATCCAAGGTCATATTTTACCATCTTTAAAATTTTGACTTGTCCAAATTTAAATTTAGGTGTCTCTTCCTTTAAATTTGAGTTTCCATTAGAGATGGTCTAGAAAGACTTACTAATTATATAATAAACACAACCCCAACAAAAATAAAAACCCTAGAAAGAAACCCTAAAAGCCGAAAGTAATGAGACACTAAATTAGTCAATATTAACTGGTACTCATGGCTCCCAATACATAAAAACACTATATAATGGTGAGCAGAAAAGTGTACTGACGATGTGAATGTCTTTAAAGCCAGAGAGAGCGAGAGTTTTGAGAAGCTCACACCCAATCCCACCAGCACCGACCATTAACAATTTCGCGCCCTAAAACAACACAAACTCCATCACTGCCTCAATCAAGTGAAAGTGAGATTCAATAGTAAAACATAAGTGGTGTACTGATATATAAAACTTAAATACCTCGATTACAGATAGGTCGGAAGCCATTGAAGATATAAAGGAAGAGAGAGAGTCGCAGAGTGACGATATATGTGAACGTATACGTATATGACGTTGAATATAGGAAAAGAGAGAGATGAAGGGTTAGGAGTTGTGGGGAATCGAAGGGAGATGGAGAAAGTAATGGGGAATCTTGGAGGTCTTTGCCCGTATAATTTCGAGGAAAGGGCGCCAAAAGAGAAAAAGTCTCGCTCTCTCTATCTTCTCTCTCTCTCTCTAGGATGAATGTACCTAGCAATTAGGGTGGTGTTTGGTAGTGGCGTTGAGGCATAGATGATCAGAACCGAGTTTGTAATGACTAAATGGTGGATTAAATGGGGGTAATTTACGAGAAGGGCCTCAGCTTGCGACTTTTCTCTTCTCTTTTTTTTTTTTTTTTTCCTGGGCTTTTCTTTTTTAACGTTGAATCACTTTACAATTGAGCCCCTAATACTTTCGATGTTAATGCGAGACCGAAAAACTCGAATGAAACTTACAAATTTTTGCTTATTTATATGTAAAATAATCGAATTACTCGGACTTGACTTGAAATCAGGCTCGACTAAAATTCTAAATAAGTCAAGTCTGAATAATTTTTTAGACCCACTTGTAATAATAAGCTCGTTAGATTCAGACTAAACTTTGAAATGCTCGACTCACTTAATGTTGCTATTAATACTTGACCTTATTCGCTATTCATTCGTGACACTTCAAATAGGACAACGCGATCCAATTTAAAATTTTAATTCATAAATAACTTGTTGATCCTAAGGTGTTCACCCTATTCTATAGGTAGGAAATATAATATTTTGTCTTCCTACTCGATACTTTGCGAAAACAAATTTTCTTACCCTGCCTTACCCGATCAGGTGTGATATTCCTACTCGATTAATCGGGTAGGAAGCCGAGGAGAAAATTGGGTAAACATTTTTGTAGTTATTAATTTTTGAATCATTTTAACAATTCAATTAAATAACACACACCAATTTAACAACACAATAAATCTATAACACTAAAATCTAAAACAACTATAACAACAATTATAATAAAACACAAGAAATCATGAACATCAATCCATCATAATTGTTACACAAATATAATAACAACTATTTTAAGTTTAAATTATATAAAACACATTAAAATCATAAATACTCTAATAGATTATTACTTCACCACAAATCACGTAACTTACACAAAAAACAAGTTCATGTTTTAGCAATTTAAACATCCACAACAATAATAATGTTATAATACAAATTATACCACACAAATACTCTTATAATTACTAAAAAAATATTAACAAGTTAAATATATTTTCTGCAAGTAGGGTATGGTAGGTAGGGATGGCAGTGGACCGGAGGAAAATGAGTATTTATCCAAACCCATCCTGTTTGGACCGGGGATAGACTATACGTATTGGACGATGGACGTATACGGGAATACCCGTATAAACCCATACAGGGATGAAGACGGGGATGGACTTACCCTTACCCCCACCCACCCCCTCCCTGCTCCCGCTATCCGTTTTATATATATATATACTCTCAAATCCTAACTAAACATATTTACTGTAACTACATATAATAATCAAATTAACAAGTGATATTGCTATGTAACAATCTTATCAACTTTTTTCCTTGATTGTTCTTTTTTTTCTATTTGTGCTCGATGATTGAAATTATTAGAAGTTTTGATTGACCATGATTTAAAAACAGATAAAAGAGAGTAAGATAGTTTTGCATTTCATTGTGAATAGAAATATTGTTAATGAAAATTGATGAGTTTCTCTGTTATAGTGAATTAAGAAATAGGGAGAATTATTGAATTAGCGAAATTTTAATTTTTCATTTCTTAACACTTTATGGCTGTAATATGAATTGTAATAACAAAAATTATTCTAGCAAATTTCAAGTGTAGTACTATCGTTTTCTTAGTTTAATTTTATGTTCTTTTTCTTCTTTTATCTCTAATAGTTTCGTTTCTCTTTTTGTGGTCCAATGACATTTTAAATATAATATTATATTGTTTTGTCTTTTATATTTTACAATTTACATTATGTTGTGTTAGATTATGTTAGATTATTTAAAATGTTGTTGGATTATTTAAAATATTGAATTTATTTAAAATTTTGGATTATGTTAGTTGAGCTTGAGCTTAGGCTTGGACGGGTATGAGGAAGTGGGGACGGAAACAGAGATTAGAAATTTACACGCGAATGAGGACGAGGATGAGGATGAAAACTATACCCGTTAACTGGAGTAGACTGGGGATAGACGAAATTTGTTTAAGCGGGTACGGGGATGAAGATTATACTCCCCACCCCCGCTTCGGTCCACTGACATCCCTAATGGTAGGAATGTAGAAATTGATGGGTATTTCGCATTCCTACCCGATTTAATCGAAAAATCAAAAACTCTTTCGTATTCCTACTCAATTTTTACGGCTAACCGTTCAGTAGAGTGGGGTAGGGTCGAGTAAGGGTAGAAAATTGCGGCCAATCGAAAATTTGAACATCTCTAGATGACCCTCACCAAAAAATGTAGTTATTTGTTAAATTTTTTATCGTTTGGTTAAAATTAATTCACAATATTACGGTGAAACCAACATAAACCCCCAGCCTAATCCCTTACACCTCGTCACAAAAAGGTTGGTTGCATCAAAACGTTAATAATCTGCAAATTAGATGTGCCAAAACGAATGCAATCCGAGTTCAAAATAAAAAAATCTATCATTTAGACAAAGCCGTTCAATACTCTAGCTAGATTTGTACAAAAATATATTTAAGAAAACATCATTATTGCCATGCATTTTATTAGCATCTAACGTTAAATCACCAAATGAGTAAAATGAAATCATCAACGCTACAAAATTCTGAACTATAAATAAGTCATCATATTGCCAAAAAAATGTTTCAATTGTTATTTATAGATTAATTTAAAAAAATAAAAAAATAATGGTATTGTTTTGACATAAATGAATGGTCTTATATTTATTTATTAATTATTTGCTATGAATTGTCATCAGATGTTAATAGGCTGCCCTTGAATGATTACACCTTTTTATTTACCATGGACAAAAACACGTGTTATAAAAAACAAAACAAATTTCTTACGCTATCAAAAAGAGAATTACACTCAGATTTATTGGGATTTGTCACTTAATCACTCATATCCCTTAATATTTTAAATATTACATATAAATCCCCTAAAATTTATACTTATAAATATATCTATTAATAAATTACACTTAAACTTCCCTAAAGTTTGTGGGTATATAATATTTGGATTCTTTAAGTTTAAAATATTATACTTAGACAAAAAATACTCCAATCAAATATTTTAAATTTTAAAACCAAAATTCATGTTCTATTATATCATTTATTGAAATAAAATTAAAAATAAAAATTTAAATTTTTCTTAAAAAATTGTAATTAGTATACAATTATATTATTTATTATAATTTAATTTCATCGTTTAAACGACCAAATTAAAATATCAAACTTTCCCAATTAAATCTAAAAGATATTGTGTCAATTACAGTTTGATTCATTGTTTAATTTTTTAGTTTTGTTATAATAGACAGTATGAATATATACTAACTATATTTTTAAATTTTTTTTTAAAATTTTATTTCAATAAATGACATAATAGAATATAAATTGTAGATGTAAAATTTATGTTTTATTATGAATGACTTATATCATTGTTTGATTTTTTAGTTTTATTTTAATAGATAGTATAATTGTATACTAATTACGATTTTTTTAATAAAAAATTAAATTTTAATTTTAATAAATGATACAATATAATATAAATTTTGGTTGTAAATTTTAAAATATTTGATATCTTGTATTTGATTGAAGTATTTTTTGTCTAAATATAATATTTTAAACTTAAAAAGTCTAAATATTATATATCCACAAAGTTTAGGGGAGTTTAAGTGTAATTTATTAATAGATATGTTTACAACAGAGGTTTAAGTGTTACGCGCGTATAAATCTCAAAGAATCTGTATATAATATTTTAAATGTCAGGGGGTCTGAGTGATTAAGAGATAAACTTTAGAGGATTTGGGTTTAATTATCCTTTGACAAAATGGTAGAATTATTGATTTACATTATTGATTATTGACATGTAAATTCAAGGCCATGCCCACATTTTAGATATCATATATATTTCGACAAATAGGAACGTGACATGCAAAATTTTTTTGTAATTGTACTAAACTATTGCACATTATTATTGTTATAAACAATAGCTACAAATGAACCAGTTAAATATTTATGATAACAGATTAATTTTTATTACGGTACAAATATATTTTTTATACTATAGTGTTATTATACAAATCATAAGTTGATTCCATATTATTTTAATTCATTTATAGTAAATTAATTAATTATAATTATTATTATTTTTTTAGCAACTCAGGTGGAATAAGGCCTCATTCTGAGAGCCCGAGGCATCAATAAGATACCATTTTGAAGTAGTTAGAATTCTAACCTTACGTGAAGACACGTGGGCTGAGAGACAATCTTAAGTAGACAGTGTGGGCTTAAGCGAGTATAGTAGAATTGTTGGTATTTGATATCTTACAGCATTTTCAACAATAAAATATATTTTAGCTACTCAAAAAGTAATATATTTTATTTTAAATACTTATTTTTTTAATACACACTTCAATAAATTTTTTATATTTTTAATTACTCTTTTTAAATACGATTTTTCATTTATTTTTTTTTTGAAAATAGTGAAATGGAGAAAGAGAGATAATGGAATAAAGGAAATGGAGTGAGAGAAAATATTATAAAAAAATTTTACATATTGCTACCGTGATACTCTATATCACTGTAAAAAAATTATTTTAGAGTATTTGAACATATTCTGTTGGAGTATGATTTTTTATTTTTATTAGCTAAATTTTAGTTATTTTTGTACTTTACAGCAACTCTTGGAGATGTTCTTTAGCTAACCAAAGCAAAAAATTATACTCCAATAGATCCTCTTCGGATACACTAAAATAGATTTTTGCTACAGTGATACTCTAAATATAAAATATCATTATTACAATTTGTAAACATATTTTATATTATTTTATCTCTCTGCCTCTATTTTCTTCCATTATTTCTCTTTCATTATTCAAAAAAATAATAATAATATAAAATGAATGAGAAATAATATTTAAAATGAATAATTAAAAATATATAAAATCTGTTGGAGTATGTATTAAAAAAATGAGCAATTAAAATAAAAAAAATTACTTTTTTGATAACTA